TTATAGCCATCCTTGTGGTTTGGAATGATATCTCATTGTGGTTTTGATTTGCATTTTCCAAGTGATTAATGGCATTGAGCATCTTCTCATGTGCTTATCAGCTATTTGTAATGCTCTTTGGAGAAATGTCCATTCAGATCCTTTGCCAATTTTTACATCGTGTTGTCTTTTTTTTTTTTTAAAGATTTTTTTTATTTATTTGACAGAGAGAGACAGAGTGAGAGAGGGAACACAAGCAGAAGGAGTGGGAGAGGGAGAAGCAGGCTTCCCGCTGAGCGGGGAGCCCGATGCGGGGCTTGATCCTAGGACCCTGGGATCATGACCTGAGCCAAAGGCAGACGCTTAACGACTGAGCCACCCAGGCGCCCCTCGTGTTGTCATTTTATTGTTGAGTTTTAAGGGTTCTTTATGGAGCCTGGATACTGGATTCTTATCAGGTGTATGGTTTGCAAATATTTTTTTTTCCATTCTTTGCACTGTCTTTCATTTTCTTAATAGTGTCCTTTGAAGCGCAAAATTTTTTAATTTTGATGAAGTGCAGTTTATCTGGTTTTTTTTTTTTTTCTTTGATTGCTGTGCTTCAGGTGTCATATCTAAGAACTATTACCTAATCCAACACCATGAAGATTTGTGTGCATATTTTCTTTTGGGGTTTTTATATCTTTGGTCCATTTTGAATTAATTTTTGTGTATGGTATGAGGTAGGGATCTAAATTTATTCTATTGCGTGTAGATAATCTAGTTGTCCCAGCATCATTTTTTGAAAAGACAAATCTTTCCCTCATTGAATTGTTTTGGCACCCCTGTCAGAAATCAATTGGCTGTAAACGTATGGGTGCTATTCAGAGGATGTTGTGCCAGAATGTAAATCAAGGAACTAGGAAAAGAAACAAGTCAGCTTAGTTAGTTAATTGATTTATGTCCTGGAGCAAGCTTCTTATCTCCTTCTGGGCTGGTAACAGTTTACTAACCAGCATGTATTTGTGGGCCACATTTTGAGTAGCGCTGCTCTAGATCTTTGCTACTTTAAATTCCACTGAGGAGCAGCATCCTGGGCCCTTTCCTAGAGCTACTGGATTAGAATCTGCTTTTAAACAGGATCCGCAGGTGATTCATATGCCTATTAAAATTCGAGCAGCACTATTCTAAATCAGATTTTAGATGACTTTAAAGATCTGTTCAGTAAGTACAGGATTAATTAATGAGTAAGACTCAGGAAAGGGAGAGTCAATGTGAGTATGGGGAGGAGAGTAGTATTTGAGACTGCTTACGTTGCAGAAGCTCAGGTACCTTGGCCCTCATAGAACACCCGGGCCAGCCTAGATCTCACAGTGTTTCTTTTCATTACTCTACTGGACTTGATGTTTTACTGTGCCTGTGAATAACTCCTTGAAGAAAGTTATAAAGGAAAGTCAGAGTTATTGAGGGGAAAAGGAGCAAAGAAAAGTAAGGCAGAAGACTTTCACAAAGCATCCAGTAGAAGAAGTAAACAAATTTCAGGCCTTAGAACTGGATTCCTTCACCTTTAAGTTAAAAAGAAGCTGAAATTTGCTTAAAAGGGTCTGTGGAACCCTGGTGTGATCCCAGAAATAAGTGGCAATAGTGATGAGTCATAAAAGCAGAAAACATTGAATATTTGAATGGAGGGTCAAAGCAGGTAAATTACCTCTTTGGAAACTTAATCTGTGTAAATGCAAGTGCTGTCGGTACTGGAAATTGGCAGGTATCATGCTGACATTCCAAGGAAGGGTGACCTGAGCAAATATATAGGAAATTAGTTATATACTATACTCATTTTTACTATTTGGAGGTGAGTGACATGTTATTAATACGCTCGTTAGAATGCTATCTTCTTTGTTTTCCTGAACTTATGTAATAAAGGTTTTTATAGATGTACTTAGGGATCAAGTCCTCCCTTAAGGCCTCAAGATTCTTAACTAGGAATCCTCCTGCTGTAGGAATTTTGAAGATAGGGACTGTTTTGTGCTACAAGCATCATTAATTAGGACCCCAGATAAACTTGAGATTTGTGATAACCTGTAAGATCTGGGTTGGTGGCATGATTTTCAAATGGCAGCTTTTGCATGTATTTATGAAGAAAGTTTTTTAGCTCTACAAACAGTTAAATATATTAATATAAATAAGGCAACTACAAATCATTTAAAATATCTACTTAATAAGGCATCCTCTTTATATCCTGACTTTTCCCGAGTAATTGAGCTCCAATACCGTGTGGGTTCTATCCCATACCTCTGTGTCCATTTCTGTTCTCCAAGCCTGGGACTGTGCTTTTAATGAAAGCCAGGGAATGCATGGGCCTCCTCTGGCCCTATTGCTGCTGTGAACTGGGCAGCGCACCCTCAGTATGAGTCAGTCTCACTTTGCAGTAAGTTTTTCTCTTGACCTTTTCTGCATTTCACAGCCATTCAAATCGATCTTCTCCATCAGTTGCAGACTAGTGAGGTGTTACTCTAAAATCTGAGATGTTGCTGCATCGTCAGGTCGTTAAGTAAGTGCCGTGGTCTCCCTCCAAAGAGGAGATCTTTTCTGCTTGGATGTCTCTCAGGAACTCTGCAGAAGACAAAATGAACAGGAATTTGGACTTGAACTGATCAGGATGCCATCTGCAGATGTTAATTATCCAGTTTGGGTCCTCTAATAGCTCTTGACCTCCTCTTGGCTCTGTCAAATGCTTTTTTTCCCATCCTGATTCTTTATTATTCCATTTGGGGTGAGACAAATCAGAGGTAGCGTTGCTGATTCTTTTTTAAACAGTTAAATGTAGACAGATTACTAATGTGGAAACATTAGTCTTTCATTCCTCCTGTGAACATTTGGAACAACATGATCTTCTGCTCTATTTTGGCTTCAAGAACTCCTCTCCAGTTCTTCCTCCTTCCTCGACTGTGTAAATGAAATCAAGTTTTTGAAGAGTTGGTGATGAGAGTAAAAAGCAGGGGGAAGAACGGGCCTCTGCAACATGAACCCTGAAATCACATTCTGTTGTGCAGAACTCGGGAGACTGCTTTTTCTGCCTCATCATCTCCTTTGTTTGTTATCCAAAGTAGTTGCTCTAAGCCTTTTATTTCTCTCATCAAGCTTCTTTCTCATTCCCTTATACTGCAAACATGGTCTTGCTCTCTACCAGAAACAGAACAATAGAACTGAACTCACTGAAGTTCCTTTTTCTCCAGCTGTAAACCAAAATGCATATCCATCCTCATTTCCTTCCTGCTCCTCTTTCTAAGACCAGTCCCCGCCTTCTCTTCCTGCAGGACTAGGTCCCATCAGTTAACCTTCGTCCTCTCCTGTATGCTGAAGGTTTCTGCTCCTGGCTCCTTCCACTCTCCCATGCTCAGGCCTCTCTCATCCTGAGAATTAATTCCTTCTGGCAGTGCTGTTCCTCTCTGGAGCACAAAATGTTCCAGAAGACTCATCTGTAGTCGCCAGCTCTATGTGCTCAACTCTTTGCAAGTCCATTTCTCCTCTCCCACCGCCCCCCCATCCCATCCCTTCTCTGAAACTGTTCTTGCATAGGGCTCCATTGACTTCCCACTGTCAGTTCCAGCGGTCACGTTTCTATTTTTGTCTATCTTTCTTTTTCTTTTTTTTTTTTAATTTATTTTATTTATTTATTTGACAGAGAGAGACAGCGAGAGAGGGAACACAAGCAGGCGGAGTGGGAGAGGGAGAAGCAGGCTCCCCGCTGAGCAGGGAGCCCAATGCGGGGCTCGATCCCAGGACTCTGGGATCATGACCTGAGCCGAAGGCAGACGCTTAACGACTGAGCCACCCAGGCGCCCCTGTCTATCTTTCTGAAGCAATAGTCATTCTTACTCCCTACCTCAGAGGAAAGTTCTAATGAATTTTAACTTTGATGCTCAGGGTTCAGGTATATTCTTTTGATACTCTGAGATTTCTTCTTGTTTTGGTGTATAATTTCAGATTAAAAGAGACTATATATGTTACTCTAAGCAGCCAAATCTGTAGTTTGTGTAGAGGTAGTTACTGTTTTTATGGCCTGAACTGTCATGTTTGTCTAGTGACTCAGACCACTTATGTTTCCACTCCCCTCCCCTTTTTTTAAACAAAAGTAAAACAATTTATTAAAACTAGTTTTTTTAAAATCTTGTATTTGTGCAAAAATCCTTTTACCCAGCTTGCTCACTTTTTCTTTCCCCACCTTACTTCTTGATGACATTGGATTTTAAACATCATCATTACAAAGATTTGCCTCTATGGATGTTGAAATAACTATACCAAGGTGTGAGGCAACTTCTAGTGCCTAAATGGGTCCTGACACATAGGAAGTGCTCGATAAACATTTGTTGACTAAGTGAATTCCATAAGCAGCCCCGAGAGAGCATATGCAGTTCCAGCCAGAGAGCTGGAAACATGACCCGTCTTATATTCCATTTGGTTGGTTTGAAAGGCTTAATTATGAGCAAAATGTTTAGGTCTGGATGCCACTGTAGTCCGTTCAAAACTTTGTAAAGCAGTTGTTCTTTTCACATATTTCCTAAAGGGAGAAAAACAGTACAAACAATTTAAAAGTCATGTTGAATTCACTTGTGTATCTACAACCAGGGGAAAAAACCCCACCAGTTTCATTTTTCTGAATTAAAAATTCACACATTTAAATAATTCATACTATCTGGCTCACACTCTCTGCAATACTTCTGGAGATGGGCGCCTTTGCTCCTGGCTTACGTGGAGCACTGATGGAGCGAACAAGCAGGCACCCTGTGTGCATCAGGTTCCAGAATCTTGTTCAGGAGAGTGCTGTGGTTTAGTAGGATTGTAGAACCATTTACTGAAGATCTGGCCATGAATCTCAGAGACCACTGGAAACCTGCTCTTGACCCTCCTCTTCATTCTTACCTCTCATTGCGGTTAAGGTCATCTGCATTTAAATTATCTGTGCTAATGGAACCAACGGGCTCATTCTGTCTCTATTGGTATCTGTATCTCATACTATATTTCTCAACTCTTCTTTATAGAGAGACCTATCGGGGCACAAGAACATTGTCGGTTACATTGACTCCAGTATCAACAGTGTGAGCAGTGGTGATGTATGGGAAGTGCTCATTCTGATGGACTTCTGTAGGGGTAAGTATATGACCCACACCTTGAGCTCCTGTTGCTCTGGCACTTTGATTGTCAAGGGCACAGGGCTCATTTCAATTAATGTGCATTGTGCCCTAATGTATGTTGTTCTATTTTTAAAGATGTGCAAAGAAAGATACAGAGCCTGCTGTCACCTCTTGGTTATTCTTACTACGGCAAACAATTTGAAGTGGTAGATAACACAAAACTCCCCCTTTTGTTAGCTTTAGGAAGGTTTGGTGCTTGTATATGAATGAGAATGGATGAGGGTGAGAATGAATGTATTATTTGTGATGCTTTAAAACAAGCGATGAAGGCACATAATGAAGATCCAACTCCAGATGGACCGAAGAAACGATTCAGCCTCCCTACTCCCTCCCTCATGTGTTCTCTTCTCCACCCACACCTCCATCCTTGTGTTATAGGGGAAAATAATCCTTTTCGTCTAATGGAAATGACCTTTCCTCTCCTTGCTTGCGAGCTGTAATTTCCAGTAAGGCTATATTCAAACGATGCTGCTATGAACAGCGGAGTTAAGTAGTTGAAAGCTTGGAGTTTCAAGCAATATTTATCTTGGGAAATACAGACTGTAGCATGACTTGATTCAGAGCTGACTGCATTTCACACAACCAGTTTGGAGGTTTGACTTTTTTGGCCTAAGCAACTGCCACTTATAAGCTTGGGTAACTGCCTCACTGTTTGGTGCCCTGTTTTATAATCACTCCTTACTTCCACTGACATTTTCCTTGCCTTTAAAGATACTGTCCGTAAATTAAATATGTTGTTAATCCCCAAAATGTGATGTTAACCAGTAATTTCAGCCTATTCTATAACAACTCTTAAGCTGATTTTATAGGATATTACCAAATTTGAACTTGACAGTTTGTTTCCTCCTGTCCATTCCTTTTTGCATGGTAAAATGTTTCAAGACAAGGTAGTGGGAGCATCCAGGGATCTGGATAATTTTGTAAGTGAGGTCATCAGTCTTTTGGTCCTGGAGGTGAAATACTGGTGTAGCATTTCTACATCCTCGGCAGCAAGTAGTGAGTGAAGCCAGAGAGACCGAGCCATTCCTAAAGTACAGACTATAAGGCTGTCTTCTTTCTGCTCTTGGGGTCTGTTGTGCAGTCTGATTCCTACTAAAAGATGTGGCAGGTTGAACCTGTGGCCTTGTCTCATACAAACGGGGACAGTGTAACCAAGCGGCTATAGCAGGACCAGATTGTCAGTTCTACTGATCTTGAAGATGTCACAAAGGCAGCCCACGTCTGGAGTGCTTCATAAAATACACTGGTTTTGATGCATTAGAGGAGGACCTGGATTGTAAGAAGATGAATCTGGGTCTGAGAATCAAGACACTTGGGTTGCAGTCATGACTCAGCCAATGACCTCTGTCCAGGTTGCTCCTCTGTGGACTTGGGTGAGTGGTGAGTCTGAATGTTGCTAACCTCTCGCTTGTTCTGTGCCTCCTTGCAGGAGGCCAGGTGGTCAACCTGATGAACCAGCGCCTGCAAACAGGTTTTACGGAGAATGAAGTGCTTCAGATATTTTGTGATACCTGCGAAGCTGTTGCCCGCCTGCATCAGTGCAAAACTCCTATTATCCACCGTGACCTGAAGGTAAAGGTTTCATTAAGTGCATTCCTACAGAGGATTTCCTATCTGCCCTGGGAACGGGGGAGACACTTGGGGGATATAAGAGAACAGGCATGGTGACCTGACATTTCTTACATTCTGCTTGGCAAGAGAAGACACAAAGAAAAAAAAAGAAAGTACGGTACCGGTATTGCTTTTATTACTTAAGTAGCCTTTAGAAATTCTTTATAATCATCAAATGCCGGAATACATGTTGTTTTTGCTTTTTCCTGATGTAGTCCCAAATTTACTTTGTTAGGGATATGGAAAATGATACGCTAATTTAAATGGTTTGCAAACAGTGATGCTTGGTTTTTAACGTCTGCTTCATATTTTGCAAAATCCAGTAAGTGATTATTTTAAAAATTTGTTCTGTTAGTCACTATCTTCTTGTACTGGGCCTTTCCTATTATATAGTCACTTGACAGTGTTTGTTGAATGGACTTGGCACCTGGTTAGGGTTCACCAACATGTATGGCACACCAACTATATGCCACATACCCTACTAGACACTTTACACACACTGTCTCTTGGAGGAAGATGTTCTTTACATTTATAGTTAGGGAAACTCAGGAGTAGAAAGGTTACATGACTTGACTAAGGTCATATAACCAGGAAGGAGCAGGACCCGAATGTGAATCCTGCTCTTCTGATTCTAAATTACAGTTTCTTTAAATACCTGTGTTTTGAGAAACCTGCTTCGAGGCTAGTAACTTGGATCCACATCCCCTGGTGTGCTGATTAAATGCAGGCTTCCGGATTCCACACTGAATCTGTCGAGCCGTAACTTTTGTGGCAGTGTCAGGGAAGCCCAGGAATCCATAGCTTAATCATCACCACACGTGGGTTTTGTATATTCTAAAGCTTGAGGATCCTAGCAGCCTACTAGCATTTCTGTGTCGAGGTTTTTGTTTGTTTGTTTTAGCTTTTTAAAAAGTGGAGATATAATTCATAACCATAAAATTCACCCTCTTAAACTATACAGTTCAGTGGCTTTCACCAAATTTACAAGGCTTTCCAACCATCTCCACTGTCTAATTCCAAAGCATTTCATCTCCCCAAAGGAAACCCTGTATCCATCAGCAATCACTCTTCATTCCCACCTCGCCCCAGCCCCAGGCAACCGCTAATCTGCTTTCTGTTGCCTGGCCTGTGCATTTCATATAAATGGCTCATAGAATAAGTGGCCTCTTGTGTCTGACTTCTTTCACCTAACAATGGTGTCAGGGTTCATCTGTGTTGCGGTATGTAGCAGTACCTCATTCCTTTTCATGGCATGATAGTCCTAGTGTGGAGAGACCACATTTTGTTCATCTAGTCATCAGTTGATGGACATTTGAATTGTTTCTACTTCAGAGAGTATGAAAAGACTACTGTGACCATCCGTGTACTAGCTTGAAGTGGGTATATGTTTTCAGTTCTCTTGTGTGTACATCTAGGGGTGGAATTGTTGGGTCATGTGGTAACTACAGTTAACTTTTGGAGGAACGGCCAAACTATTTTCCAGAGTGGCTGTACTATATTACATCCCACCAACAATATATGAGGGTTCCCATTTCTCCACATCCTCACCAACCCTCCTTGTCCCTTTTCATTTTAGCCATCCCAGTCGGTGTAAAGTGGTACATGCATATTGGCATTTCTGTACTAAAGCCGTTAGCTGACGGGAAGATAGTACATACCTTCAAAAGCCTTAAATAGCTTCTCCAGTGTCCCTCTGTAGTCAGCCCTTTCTCTGAGTAGAAAAGGGAGAATACATTTCGGTAATTATTATGAGTCTAGCATAGTACAAGTACATAATTCTGTGGAGGCGGCACAGGTATAATATGGTTCCTACTCCCAAGATGTTTAAGTGTTGGTGAGAGGATATAAATGAAATGTTCAGACTTGCAACAGTGACAGGTAAAGTATGAAAGTTCTAGAACAAAGTGCTCAGCAGCAGAGAATCGAGCTGCTTAATGTATGGTCAGGTAGTGGGACCAGGTAATGGAGGTTGGAATCTTCCCGAGTAGTGGGACGTCACAGGCTGGTGGGATATGTATGGGTGGTCACAGACAGGATGAAGCCATTTTAGATGGAGAGCAGAGCCTGAGGCCTTCCTAGAGAAGGGGACAAGAAGGCTTCAGAGCGTGCTTATGCGCCTGAGGGGGCATGGAGGTAAGGGCCTGGAGAGGAGGCAGAGATGACCACTGAGCATCCTTGTAGAGAGTGCTATTCCCCTGTTCTTAAACAAAATCTTCCTTTATTTTAACTGGATTAAATGAGGCTTCGGTGATGAGTCATTGCATACCTGTCGATGATGCCTACCTAATTTACATATTGCCAGCATATCAGTGCCCTGTGGTGCTCCCAGCGCTGCTGTGAGGAGCCTGAAGTCCAGAGCTCCAGGTCTAGCCCGGGGACAGGGAAGGGGACAGAGCTTGGGCTCGGGCAGTGGGAGCCCCGGACGCTTTCTTCACTGTACCGAACAGTCCCCGAGATATTTTAGCAGAGGAACATGGCCAGAGTGGAATCGGAGGAGACGCCACAGCAGGAGTGAGGAAAGGCTGCCGTGTTCTGTTCCCCAGCTTGCCTCCGAGCCCTGTACCCCTCCGCCTTCCTCGCTGCTCCAGAGAGTCAGCACAGTGCTGGCAACACAGTATTGGACTCTGTAGTTGTGTCTTTTTTTTTTTTTTTTAATAATTTATTTATTTATTTGACAGAGAGAGACACAGCGAGAGAGGGAACACAAGCAGGGGGAGGGGGAGAGGGAGAAGCAGGCTCCCTGCTGAGCAGGGAGCTGGATGCGGAGCTCGATCCCAGGACCCTGGGACCATGACCTGAGCTGAAGGCTGACGCTTAACGACTGAGCCACCCAGGCGCCCCTGTAGTTGTGTCTTAATCCGTAGTGGAGACCATCAGGGGAGCAGCCGGCTTGCCGGTAGTGGTTCAGGAGACTGTTGCCATTTCTCCTCTACCTTGGAAATAGTTGAATGTAAGTAAGGGGCCCCTGGGAGGAGGCCTCGATTGTAATTGTTCCAGAAGAGTCCCGCCGCTGTCGATTTTAGTCAACTCCTGGTTGTTTTGATGGAAGCTTTCCCAAACTCCACATATCCTCCACTCTGTGCCATCTAGCTGCTTTCGTTAGCAAGTGAGGTTTTGTTGATTTCTGCTCGTATGTGCGTGGCGGGTGGTCCCCTTTGCCTGCCACACTGCCAGCCTCCTGAGGCCCGACTGCAAAGTCCCCGTGTGCCTCCCTGTTTGCCATCCCGTAGTCTCAGACACTCTGAGTTCCGTGTCCAGCCACTACAGTGCCAGCAGTGGCCAGGGCCACGAAGTTCTTTATTCCCCTGTTGGCCAGAGTGCTGGTCGCTGGTCTTTAGGTGCTTCTCTGAGCAGGACTTAATCTGGTGAGGTGGCACCACCGTGAATAAAAGTCGGTAGGACATGAAAAATAGCGCAGGCCAGGCCAGCTGTGGATCCCCTTGTGGAGCCAGTGCTGCCCTGCGTGGGGGTCCATTGTTCACATGCAGAGCTGAGGGAAGCCCCCTCTTGCCCTGCCTGCCACATGTGCCGTCTTTCTTTCAAATTCTGTGTAGGAAATAAGTTGAAAGCAGTCCCTGTCCTTAAACAGCTTATGTTCTGAAAATAACCAGGACAGAAGTTCTGTTCTTCATTGGAGGTCTTTCCTCTAATACATTATTTTAACATTCTCATCACTTCCCTGTTTTGTTTTGTTTTCATTTTTATCTCTCTGAGGAAAGAAAGAGATCATTGCAGATCATGGGGTCATAAAGCTGGAAAGGTCACCTGAGCCAGCCCTCTCCTTTTACCAGTGAGGAGACCTCTGCGCAGAAAGGCTGTGACCTGCACGGCTAATTCTGTGATCAAACCAGAGCAAAGGCCACAGGTTTTTATTCCCATTTTGGTTTTTGTTTGGTTGGTTTTGCTCTCTTATACCGTGCTGTTTGTTCAGGTACTTAAGAAAGGGGAAGAAAGGGTTAAGATTTAATAAGTGCATTCAGATTGAAAAAGCCATGAATGTCTCCTCTTTTGTCAGAAAAGAGATTTTGATTTCACGAAGTACAAAGAAGATTCTTGTCCCGTTTTTAGAATTGTAAGTTTGAAAACCTTTGTTTATCTTATCCTCAGAATTTCTAGTGGTAATAAATTCTGTGACTGAAATGCCCGAATGCCATCTGGAATAATGTCAAGATGAAGGGTCAGTAGGAGGTGGCTTTCCAGACCTTTTAGCTAAAGCTGTGAGCAGAGTTTGGGAGTGACGACTTTAATAACCCTCTTAAGCCAGTAGGTTGGGAAGTAAGGTTAGCAGCATTAAACTCTCAAAGAGCTGGAAGACTGTAGGATTGTAAGCAGGGGTCACATCCTAAGGGACTTTGCCAAAAACAAAGTCACTCTGCAAATTCTCTGGAGCTTCCAGAAGATGACGTATGAAGGTCCAGTTGGTTCTCTACCTTCCTAGTCTCACTTAATCCCTCTGGTCTTAGTCACCTTCCCCCTGGACGACTGCAGCTGCTCTCGCTTTCCTCCTTCTCCTCTGTCACTGGCTAACCTTCCTCAAACACCTCTTTTCATCTGCTGCTGAGTGGCTCCCAAGGGGGCCTTCCCCAGTCTGCCATCTGTCAGCTGCTCTGGTCCTCTTTCCTGCTCCCTTCGCGGTCACCCATCTGAGCTGCCCACATTCTGTAGTAACTGCGTAATGCCCATCAGTGCTGTGGGGAGGGGGTAGCCTCAGCGGTCCGGCAGCCCAAGCCCACATCCTGCCCTACCAGCCTTGTGACCTCAGGCACATTAGGTAACCGGACTCTGTTTTCTCCTCTGTTAAGTGGGGGCAATAAGGCTTTGTAAAAATTTCATGAACTACTGTAGGTAAAAGTGCAGGGGGCAGCATCTGGCTCATAGTGAGTGCTGTTAGTTGCTGATACCATTTTTTTTTTTAAGGATTCATTTTGTTTTTGCTTTTTTTGTTTTTGTTTTAGTTGAGAGACAGAGAGAGAGCTTGAGCAGAGAGAGGGATAGAGGGAGAGGGAGAAGCAGACTGCCTGCTGAGCAGGGAGCCCGATGCGGGGCTCAGTCCCAGGACCCTGAGATCATGACCTGAGCCGAAGGCAGACGCCCAACCGACTGAGCTACCCAATCTGGTCTCCGCATTCATAAGGGCACTAGTCCAGAGGATGTCCAGCCCCTGTGTCTTCAGTGTCCTTTGCAGCACCAGTGCCCAGCACAGTGCTGTCCCAGCCATTGTGGCCTATCTGTCTGTCTCAGATGCCTCAAGCTTGCTGCCCTCTCAGTGCCCTCCTGCTGCCTGTCCTCTGAGAGCCACCGCCTCCCCCAGGTGGCCCACACCTGCTCCCTCCATTCAGGTCTCTGCTCACCTCATCACAGCGACCTTTCCAACTGTGCTATTTGCAATAGCGTCCCTCTTCACTTCACATGTGTTTAACTTGGTGGTTTTTTTCCCATAACATTTATCACCCCCTGGCAATTACACCTACTTTCTTATTCTCTTCCACTGGACTCAGCTCCATGAGCAGATGAACCTTGATTTGTTCACAGCCTTATGCCCAGAGCCTCTTTGGCATATAGTAGGAGTTTGAATGTGCGTGTTTCTCTATTAAATGAATGGTTATAACTTCTTAGGTTTATATAGGGAGATTTATAGTTTGCTTTCACATATATTCTCTTACTTGCTTCATAACAGCAGTGATAGAAATATTATTAGCTTTACTTTGCAGATGAGAAACAAGCCCGAAGAGCTTTAAAGGCTTGCCCGAGGTCAGACATGTGAATAGTCACCGAGGTCCTGTGACTGCCAAGTCCAGTGTGGTTGTCGCATGCCAGGCCCCGTGTCAAATGTGTTGTTGATGGTGGTGGCGGTGGTGACAAAGGGCAGCGGCCAGCTTGATCTTGGAGGTTTGCACAGGTGTCCCAAGTCACCGGGTCAGACTGAGAAGGCGCAGAGGGTGCGGCAGCTGCTGGGGCGGCCCCTGCCAAGCGAGTTCACCTTCACAACCTCGTGACTCTCCCTGCAAACTTGCAGAGCTGCCCGAGCAGGGCTTCTGGTTCTTACCTGCATTAGCATTTCCTTGATATTGATAAGGCTTTCCCCTACATTGATAGTTCTGGCTTTGTGTCCACTTTTGTACAGACCCTTCATTTTTAACTTTTTTTTTTTTCCAGCAAATACTGTTTTGTACAATGTTATCTTTATGGGAAGGAGGCAAGCTGAGATGGGGACCAGGCTGATAGAGTATCAACTGAGTATCTGCGGAGTTCTGCCACTCTGGAACTGACCAGAAATACAAACCTAGTTTTTAAGGTGGGGGGGGATAAAAACAAAACAGAAACCCTTATGTGCCTCATCATTATTCAGTCTTTGTCTACTTGGTTTGCTTCCTCCCCCCAGCCCAGTGATTTTGGTCCCTGGAACTACCTTGTTTGTGTTTTGAAGTGAATTAACTTTTCAGTTTTTTAGATTATACATTCTAGCATCGGAGGTATAGACATTAATTGGGGAAGGGGCTGTGCATGTACAGTAGGCGACACATGGTTTCACATGAGGCCGGGGAGGACGATTGCTGCTAACTGACACTGGATAAGGGATCGAGGGGTACGTGGTGTGTGAAATACCGGACTGGCTATTGCAGGACACGCACGGGAGTAGTATAATTATAGACCAGTGGCTGACGGACTTTTCTGCAAAGGACCAGACAGTAAATATTTTAGGCGTGTCAGCCATATAGTCCCTGTCACAACGGCTTGGCTCTGCCATCGGAGCTCAAAAGCAGGAGCCGGTAGACTAGAGGGTAAGTGACAAAAGGGCATGGCTTGCTTTTGTCTGAAGGTCTTACTTGGCCAGCCCCTCATGGATGGTAAGTTCTACAGATTTTATAAGGTGGCCGTGGAAGATTTTACTGAGGATTTATGACTCGAGCAAGGCCTCGTAGAATGGCTGAGATTTGACAAGTGGAGCAATTGAATAAAAGGACGAAGCAGGCAATGCAGGGAGTGCTTAAGAGACACTGAGCAAAGGAGCCTGGCTAGTAATTAGACACCTGGTTCCGCATCGACTAGATTCCTACTCTGGGGCATTTCTGAGCATAAAGGACTAAGGCAGCCCTGCCCTTAAGCTTGTATCCAGTACACTGGGCATACTCTTTACACCACGGTTAGAGGATATTATGGCAGGGGACCTTGAGTAATGCTCTGCTTCTAACTTGCTTCCTGCCCTGGCAGAAAGGTAATTAATTACCTGTCTTTCTCTAGAGTTAAATTGCCTAGGTTTACTTCCCAGCTTCATCACTGTGAGCCTCACCCTCTGCATCTGTAAAACAGGGATGTTATTATATTATTATGAGGATAATCCATGTAAAGTGCTGAGTACAGTAATACTCATAATAGTAAAAGCTCAGTAAATGGTAGCTGATCTGTCTATAACCTCTAAATTAGATTGGAAATATTAGTATTGCTTTGTTGGAATTATTTTAGATTCCTCAAGTGAGTATATGTTCAGGATAGCTTGACTGTGTCACTTTGTGTAAATAGGTTAAAGTGATGAGGTTTATAGAAAGCCGTAGATAGTAGAAATATTTGCTTGCCTCAGCCTTGTCTCCGGGGAATAAGAGCACATCCACTCGAGTTGATAGCCGTAGTTCACCCTGCCTGTGTGGTTAAAAATCCCACGGTCAAAATTCTAGATTAAAGTGATTATAGGTTAATAGTGCCCCAGGTGCAAAAGCGTATCCTCTCTGGACGAAAAATAGATTTTAAACTCAGGCCTCAAAGGCTTCCCACAGATGAATTCCAAGGAACATGAGTTAACAGCAACAATAACAAAACCCCTGATAACAACACCACGCGTGAGACTCAGTAGGAGTAAGAAACAATAAACGAAAGAATCAGTTTGCAGCAAAGGCTTTAGGTATTAGATTTAGCTGGTACAGACTATACAATAAACATTTTTGTAATATATAATATAATTTTCAGAAGAACTAAATCAAGTGTAGAAACAGGTATAGGAAAAACAAGGGACTTTCACAATTGACCAGATTTTTTTTTTTTTTTTTAAGAACCAGTAGTAGTAGGGCCTGGGCATTTGGTGGCTCCTATCTTGCTTCTGACAGATGGACACACACACAAACACAGTGTTAAGTGTGTTTCTGTTTTTTAACTTACTCCATTCAACCCACATTTTCTGCAGCAAGCACTGTATTAGCCCTGGTAGAGAAGACTACAGATAGGATTAAGAGATGGTGCTTGTCTTGAAGGAGCTTGTAGTCTCCTCTTGCCTTTGTTTTCCAAAGATGATCAGTCTTTGGAAGGCTGACGACAAAAGACAATGGAGACTACAGGCTTACTGGCCTAACAAGATTTTCTGGCTGCCATTTTACTGCCCACGTATAGCCAGGTCTGTCCTCCAACACACCAGTCAGCTCAGTTCACCTATACAAACAATTAACTCACTACATCTTGAGTACAGAAGTGCCCACCGTTTTGGAGTTATTCTTTCATTGGCGTAGTCCTTTGATACCAGAGATTTCTGTAGGTTCTGGTATTTGTAAGCTCTCTTCTACCTGTAACTGCTAACTCACTGTCCAAAGAATTCATCTATAAAAAGATAATACTTTAATAGGAAAACTGCACATTTGCCCACAGGCCTTTAATCACTTTGAGAAGTATCTACAATATAGCAAATATTTATTATTCCAGAAATCCTAACATACCGTGGTAAAGAAATTGATATATGCATGTATAAAGCTGAAATGAAATAAGTGACATCAGGAAGAATGAAGTCCTAAAGGACCGTGGGGAGGGAGTGACATTTGCCTCAGTGGGTCCTTGAGGAAGGCTTCAAAGAAGAGGTGCCATTTGAACTGGAGTTTGACAGATGAATGGGATATTGATAGTTGGGTAAGGAGGTGGTGGTCACAGAGAACATTTTAGACTGAAAGAAGAACATGAGAAAGGATACAGAGGCTTGAAAGTATTAGGACTGTTTCTGCAGAGGTGAGAAATGTGGCTGGAAATCTAGGAAAATGGGGCTCTTGCTTCCCGTTGTGGAAATCCTCTATTTGCCCCCTCTACTCTCATTTCACCCTGTTACCATGCTTTGCTTTTTGTTCACTTGAGATGACCCCTGTCGAGATACTTGGAGGGGAATAACTTTCCTATGCATATTAATGGGATTATCAGCAATAAAATAGTTATATGACTATGAACAAAATTTTCATATGCATTACTAAATAATGTCTTGGAATGGGTGGTTGGGGAATGTTTTTCAGGTTGAAAATATCCTCTTGCATGACCGAGGCCACTACGTCCTGTGTGACTTTGGAAGCGCCACCAACAAATTTCAGAATCCACAAACTGAGGGAGTCAATGCAGTAGAAGATGAGATTAAGAAGTAAGCATTTCCTCCTTTCTTGGAGTTTTGTCCATGACCAGATCAGCAACCGTACTTTCAGCTTATGGATGAGAAGGTCAGGGTGGGAAGACCATGGTGCTGGTCATGGTGCCTCTTGTCTCAGAACATCATGTTGGCAGTTGGGTTGTTTGATTTCAAGTGGAGAATGTGGAAGGGGTCCACAAGCATTGATCAGTAGAGTAAAATGAAGGAATCATATAGCACTTTATCAATGGTCCAGTGATCCCGGTATGTAGATATTTTGACTTACGTCACATAGCCCTTAAAAAGCTTAATGGTGCACAGACTGTGGAGGGACTGTGATGTTTTTAAGTGTAATCACAGCATCTGTGGCGTTATCGGTCAGCTGGATGTGCTTTTCACCGAACCCTACATTGCTGTGTACTCCTTCTTGGTCACAAGGAGCTCACCAATCTAGTGGAATTAATGGTAAGTAGGGCTATGAAGTCTCTACAGATACTGACTCACTGACTTCGATGAGAAAAAGCTTCTTTAGATTTCTGGCTCCAGTAAGAACCTGACCCATTTTTCCCCTCTCGTCCAGAGTGCTGGATTTTTTAATAAACCAACAGTCTGGTATGCACACCTCTATCCTGATCCTCAGTCTCCTTTCCTGCATCACCCCTGGCAGCCAAGCTGGGGCGGGAAGACTTCTGGTCCACGGTGCTGGTGGACAGCTAAACCATGGTGCCCTCTGGGCTTTAGCGGCTTGAGCAGCATAGGTCACATGCTTGGTAACATCAAGACACTCACTTTGAAGCTGAGCTTATACTGTCTTTCCTTGAGCCAGAGATAAGAGGAAAACTGTTGCTTCATCCCTCTTCCAGCAGCAGAGACCAGCCACCTCCCACCCCAGCCAGGGCCCACTTTCTGCCTTCCTCCAGTGTCTCAGCCAGTATTACGTATCTGAGTTGAGCCACATTTAAGGGAATTACTGTTTTTAAGAACAAATCAGAAAATATAGTATAAATATACTATCAGACAACGAGGATTTGCTGAAGATTTTATCATTGGAGGACCCAAGAAAAGTTGTTTTTAGTGTCGACTGAAGTGCCTCAGTGTCTGGGTCTCCACGTGCCCTCAGATGGAAGGACTGCTTCTAGAGGGCCATGGGTGTGTACCAAGGACAGCTTTCCATTTTATCTGCACTAATATTTCATACTCTCTTCTGCGGATTGCTCCCAGGGAACTAGACTTTTTAAATTTAATATATATGTATTTAAAAAGTATTTCTGCTACCCCTGGTTTTTAATTATAGCATTGACATATTTAACAAAAAACAAATCTCTTGATTGTAGATACACAACGCTGTCCTATCGAGCACCAGAAATGGTCAACCTGTACAGTGGCAAAATCATCACTACGAAGGCAGACATTTGGGTAGGTGTCAACTAAGCTATCCGCACCTCAGATACCAGCAGTCTTGACCACAAATTCCCGAGTTTAATGCAGACAGTGCCATAGTGAGAGTGGCCACTGTACCATGTCACTGCCTACCTAACTGTCAGGGTTATTCTTCACTCCAGGTGACCAGCCACTGCCTCGTGAAGCATGTCAAAGGAAATGACTTTAGAGTTCTGTGAAAATTATTCAGGTGACCTGCCCATTATTTAGGTGGTTTTCCTACATGCGTTACGAGTTTTTAAGAATAAAATAGCTGAAATGCTTGTTCCTTATTGGAGCACAATTTGGTAATGATGGTAGAAATAATGTATGTCAGCAGCTAAATAGTGGTGTTGAGTTCTAAATTCAAGTTTCAAATAGGTTAATAGTACAGAGATTTTATATCTGCTCATAAATGTGGATGATGCCAATATCTCTCAGACCCATTGGCAGTTATGGTAAATAAACCACTCCTAGCAATCTTCTTTATTTTTTTAGGCTCTTGGATGTTTGTTGTATAAATTATGCTACTTCACTTTGCCATTTGGAGAGAGTCAGGTGGCAATTTGTGATGGAAACTTCACAATTCCTGATAACTCTCGATATTCCCAAGACATGCACTGCCTAATTAGTAAGTATTTCAAGTTTCTAGTTTCATATTTTTATCTCTAATCTCCAGGAATGAATTGGGGGACAGAGGGACTGGCTCACAGGAGTGATGGGTTGGATGCAAAGATAAGTGAACTGGTAATGGTTGGTCACTCAAAGACGAATAACGGTGTCTAGTTAGAGTCATAGGCCTTTTTGCTAGATATCTAAGCTCTTTTGCACTTGAGCAGAAATCCTAACTGTGCTTTGAGCAGTACAGTACTGCTGTGTTCTGTTGCAGTCAGTATGAAAGAGTCCAGCTGACTCCCATCAAGTGATAAAAAATTCATCTTTGCAAAACTGGAAGCAACTCAAATTGAAATGATTGCCATGCGTTGGCTGGAGTGAATACATAATTAAGACTGTATAACTCTGTGCAACAAGGTTTTTTCTCTCTTTAGGTTAATCACTGGATTTTGATAACAAGCATTTAAACTCAGTGCTTGGTTTAAAATGTTTTTTAAGATTCCCCACTCTTTTGCAGCATCCTAGCAAGCATATGTATCAGTTCATTAACCAGATGGTAGACCGAATAATCTTTGCACAAGCCCTTGTACAGAGATATTTTATCATCTTTTCACATTGGTCAAGGGATTTAGCATCTAAATTTTAACCATTATGGGTTATAAGTCCTGGGATAGTTTGGATCCCAGTTTGGGTCCTGGGTGGGATTGCATTGAAAAAAATAGAAGCAGATATGGGTGGAGCATCTGACATTTGTTGAGGGCCTACTTGTACCTTATTTAACTCTTAAAATCTTATATAGTAAATATAATTATCCCCATGATCCAAATGAGGAAGCTGAAGCTGAGGAAGTATAGGTAACTTACCCAAGGTAACATCGTTACACCTTTTAGATGACTACCCATTCCACTGGGCCAGTTTTATCAATCCACTTCTGTTTATGAACCAAAAAGGGGGAGGTGGTATTTAAAGAAATGGGAGTATGGCCTTTAATGGTTGCTGGATTGTTTTCAGAGGTGAAGCATTAGAGTAGTCCCTCCTTATCCGTGGGTTTGCTTTCTGTGGTTTTAGTTACCCACAGTTGACCGCAGTGGGAAGCATACAATCCTACTTCTGATGTATGGTCAGAAGGTCAATAGTAGCCTAACGTTAAGTCACCATGCCTGTGTCATTCCCTCACGACATCTCATCACGTGGGCATTTTATGCTTTCACATCATTACAAGAAGGGTGAGGACAGTATAATGAGATATTTTGAGAGAGAGAGACCACATTCACATAACTTATATTGTAGCATATTGTTATAATTGCTTTATTTTATTATTATTGTTAGTTAATCTCATAGCATACCTAATTTATAAATTGAGCTTTATCATAGGTATGTATGTGTAGGAGAAAACAGTATATATCGGAGTCAGTACTATCTGCGGTTTCAGGCATCTACTGGGGGTCTTGGAACGTGTCCCCCCTGGATAAGGAGGACTACTGTATGTCTGTTCTAGAACTGCAGCTATGTAAGTGAGATTGGAAGGATATATAGGAAATGGCCCGATCTGGTGCTAGAATGGTAGGATTTTTTGGTAATACATTTTCTTTTTAACATTTGTACAGCAAATTCATATTAGGAAAAACAACTCTTGACAAATGTCTGTGACACTCACTTCTTTCCCAAACTCTGACCTATTTTTTTACAAACTACTTGAAGATCCCACAGTCACCCTAGAGTCACAGATCTAAAATTAAATTTATTGTCCTTGCCCAATTGTCCTTGTCCTGCGTCCCAACACGCAGTTCCCCTCTTTTTTCGGTTTCTATTAGTGGTGTCACCATTCACGCCGGGATAATGGAAATTTAAGGTTTTCTTTGGATCTGGCTCGCAAGAGAAACTAGAGTCGGGCATTTTCTAAGCAGTGCTCTTTCTTTGGAGTTCAGCTGGTGCGTTCCTGTAGGGGTGGAGTGGCCACCAGCCTCTCTCCTCCTTCAATCAGCCCAGCCCAGCCCCGCCTCACCGAGAGATCGGTCTTACACAGCGCCACCCTGTCAGGTCCCCGTAGTAAACTTCCTGGTTTGCCCGTGGTCCCACAGTAGGGCCCAGCTTCTTAGCATGGCATCTAAGACCCTTCATACTCTGGTTCCATCCCACCCACCCAGCCTTATTTCCCTGTGTTCTCTGATAAGGAAACCTCTGCTCTGTCCTTCTGGCACCTGCATTTCCTCACAACAGGGCCTTCCTTGCCTTTCGCCCAAGTGCATTTTTGCCCAGACTGTTCCGTCACCAAGAATATCTTTTTCTCTTCTTTCCCGCCTTCAAGGACCAGCCCAAACCCTGCTTCTTTTTTTTGTTGTTAATTAATTTATGTGAGCTGGGGGGAGGAGGAGGTGGGAAGGCAGAGGGAGAAGGAGAGAGAATCTCAAGCAGAGCCCCTGCTGAGCAAGGAGCCTAATGCATGGCTCCATCCTATAGCCCTGAAATCATGACCTGAGGGGAAATCAAGAGTCAGAGGCTCAAGCGACTGAGCCACCCAGGCGCCCCAAACCTTCTGCAAGGCCTTTGCAAGACTGCAGCCTCATCAGTCTTTCCTACACTTAGTGTTCAGACCATTCATTTGTTTCCTTAAACAGTGAGGCCTTGCACTGTTGTTTGTATGTCTGCATGTGTATGTTTGTGTGTCTTCACAAAGATGTTTTTCCTGGTAATTTTTCCAGCTTTGGAAAGGGCAGAAGCGTAAAGGATCTGGAAATAAATAAGTGTTCTATAATTATGTAAAAGTAGAGATGTATTTATCATTTTGTAATTTTTTAGAATGGAAACCAGCTAATATCTCCAACAAAGGAATAATAAGTCAGTTCTTAAAATTTGAATTTTGAGGGGAGTTTGGCTGGCTCAGTCGGTGGACATGTGCCTCTTGATCCTCAGGGTCATGAGTTCTAGCCCCATGTTGGGGGTAGAGATTACTAAAAAAAAAAAAAAAAGAAAGAAAGTGAAAAAAAATGTTTTGTTTATAAGTCTTAAGGATAATCATTTGTTTAGCCAGATAAGGAAGCCAGAAGCCTATAACTTCCTAGGTACCAGAATATGAAGGTGGTAACTTTAATAATGAGAGCTTGCTTGAGTCCCTGTTGTACAAGCCACAGAATGTGAACCTCAGATATCTTTGTTACAGTTCAGAAACTTTGTTACTTTCTTGTGCATATTAAAAAATTTTAGGGAAGTTAGAGCTTCCATTTCTGAGAGGGGAGGAAAAGAGCTAATTACACTGTTTGACTTTTATGAGAAATAAAAATGAAAAAAAAACACATTTGGTAAGAGAAATTATGTTTCCTAGCTAATGTAATAAGTATTAGGGTATTATTAAATATGTTCACATATGTTTGTCTTAGGGTATATGTTGGAACCAGACCCTGATAAAAGGCCGGATATTTACCAGGTGTCCTACTTCTCATTTAAACTACTCAAGAAAGAATGCCCAATTCCTAATGTACAGGTATGTGAAAGATGCTTTTTAGGGGAAGTAAACATTATCAAATTGTCATTTAAAATTCTGGGGGTGTGAACCAGCTGTTTAATGAATATAGATGTCCTTTGTTTTGTGTGGTAGGGGGCATTCAAACAAAGCTAACTATGAAGCAATTACTATAAAGAGAATCCAATTTTCCCATAGAATTTAATTATTAAACTAAGGCAATTACACCCCCCCCCAAAAAAATCCCTAGAGATTGAGTTGAGCGCTTCGGGTGAAGATTGACCAACCTACTGTCTTGTTAACTTCCACAGTTCACGAAGAGCTATAAGCCTGTTATATTTACCTAGCGGTGGTAAGGCAGGCTGCCTTCCTAAGGCAGGCCTCTGAATTTGTCCCCATACCTACTGGAGCATAAGCCCCTTGTTCCTTTTCTCCTTTATTGCAGCAGAGCTTTCTTGATTCTGCTGCTACTCTCTGCCATCTATAATTCACACTCCTTTTCCGCTACCCTCCTTACACACATCAGGCCATAGGAATGTTTTCTACATTTAGTAATCCTAAGCTCTGCACTCAACAGTTTTCAAACTTCAGACCTTTTTACAGTCTTAGCATATTTTTCATGTGTGATCCAGCTCCCTTGAATATTTTACTAATGGATACCATAATAAATAAGTTCTAATCTGAAATCGTCTTCCAGTTTTCCCAATAGTGAACTTTGATGTCCCTATTGGAGCTTGAGGGTACTGATAAATAACACTCCTCTTTCAGTCCTACATTTGGAATCGGATGTGGGAATCATTCAGATGGAACTCAGAATATTGGCTATATTACTAATAAGGTTGAATCAGAGATGGTAGCTTGACCAGTCAGGCTCCCTAACATTAGATCCACATGACTGAGCAGGGAGCACCTTATTCTGTAGAGACAGCCTCTCCCTTAAAGGAGAGGTCAGCCAGGCGAGCTCACTTTTTTCTCCCAGTCCTGTCAGTCAAGTAAGTTATGCTTCTCCCTTGGGAGAGGAATGCTTGGAGAGAGGAAGAGGAGCAAGGAGAGATATCCTAGCAAAAATTCTCCCTACCTGGAAACATGAAGGAAATGGGAGGTCCCTCCTAAAAGCCTAAATATTTACTGTTACTAGTAAAACTATTACTAGTATTACATTTGTCAGCTTTCCAGATTAAAATGAGGAATCTCGTACAGGAACCTAACATGACCCATGTTTTTCTTTTGCTGCCCCACTTTCCCATTCATAGAGTTAAATAACCTGAAATATAATTGGAAGCATTCAGATTGGTAACTAGTTTTTAAAAAGTCAGGCTCAACAAGTCTCAAGCTGTTTGGTACTCACTCAGCAGTGCTAAGCAGTTGTCTTGTGGCTGGGGACGGGAGTGCTCCCTCCGGAGCCAGAGCTGGTGTCAGGTGGCCCGTGCGGAATCCGGGTGGGAGGAGTTCTACTGGCCTCATGGGTCTAGGGGTGCCTCATACACTGAAGAGGCCCCGGTGCCACAACCAAATGGTTTGTGGCTATGGTTTTCTCCCAGCGTTCAAGATAGAAGACAGAATGAATCCCGGCTGGGCCTGCTGCTAGTCAGTGCTGACTTCTGTAAGGTTTAGCTGATAGTTTAAATAGTAATACAGGTTACAGACATCTCTTCCATTCCATTCTTAACACCACCTCTAAGCTGTGTGGTAGGAGGTAAAGGGTCCAGCAGGTTGGGAGCCTCGGGGGAGGAGCTCATGGGACGCAGGCTGCTCTGTCCTCTTCTCCGATATGCTACCTCCCTGAGGGGGGCCGAGACTGGTGGGATCTACCTTTGGTTGACTTCCCTTCCCTCTAGTAGACATCAGGGCCTGGAAGCCACACTGGGAGATCCCAGCACGTATTTCTATTGGCCCAGTCATGCTGGTATACTTTTACAAAGCAATCTGCAATGTCCTTTTTTGGTTTCCTTTCAATTCTGTAGAACTCTCCCATTCCTGCAAAGCTTCCTGAGCCAGTGAAAGCCAGTGAGGCAGCTGCAAAAAAGACCCAGCCAAAGGCCAGGTAAGAACTGCCCAAGTGTGCGCAGGTCCCGCGCCAGCGGCCGTAGCGGTAGGAGAAGGTGCCTAGTGGTTGTTAGGTTCCTGTGGCCAGAGGCCGCACAGAGCAGGAGAGCAAGCTCTGTCTCTTCCAGGGAGTGCAGGGAGGAATATGATGAAACACAGCGATCTACATCTGAAAGAGAATGAAGAGCTCCACAGCTGTTTCTTTTGCTTGGGGAGAAGCGCAGGGGCATTCGGAGAAGAGGCAAGAGCCAACTTTAAATATTGCTAAAAAGAATGTCCTAAAGGTGTCCTGGTCTTCCTGTAGCCTGGTTCACCACCCTAGTCCTTCACCTCCCATTCCTTCTTACTGTCTGTGGCCCTGACCACCTCAGGAGAGTGCCAGTCAAGGCACAGACTCCATGAACAGCAAAAGAGCTTATGGATCTTAGCTAACCACATTCCATGGAACATGGGGTCTTTCCCGAAGCAGATGCCAAGAGAGGATTGAAGAAGCTAGGATATTATTTGACCATGAGAGAAAATAGGGAGACAGCCAGGGAAGGCTGGAAGAACCATCAGAAGGCGATGTAAGTCTAACCCAGAGCAAGGAAGGAAGAATGAGTGGAAGTGACTAGAAACTGCCACACAGTTGAAGGAAGAAGGTTCACCAAAGGTGTCAGGGAATCCTCAAGCCAAAGTCAGCTACCAGAGCAGCCCCCGTGTCCCGGGAACAGGCCAACTTTAGTCCCCCTGTGACGGGGGTAAAAGGCTGGGAGCAGCCTGTGGGAAGCATGGCCTCAGAAGGAGCATGGCAATGGATTTCAGGAGCACAGCCCCTGGGGCACGTGGTGTTTGCACCCTTTGCCAACTGCAGGTCTGTGGGGCACAGCCTCATGGCTGCCATGCTTCCAAGTGGCAGATTCTGAGGGTAGTCGAAGAGATGTTTATGCCTCCTTTTTCTCCCACGTTCCCATGGCGAGGAAACGTTAGCCGCCAACTATCAACAAAGTACCCTAGATGGGGTTATGTGAATTTTAATAGAGTGGTAAAATAATTTCTACATTTTTAAACATTCTTAAATGTTTCTGGAATAAATGTAAATGCTGATGTGGCTCCAAAAGTTAAAGGAGACTTTTGTTTTTCACAGACTTAGCAAACTATATCCACGGTGTTACTTTGTAGACTTACCTAAGTCTGCCATGCTCGCCTCTGGAAATTGCTTTTGGGGCTGAGTTCATTAGCTGAGTATTTGGGTTTATGCCCATATTGCTCTAGACCCAAATATAGTAGGTACTGAGGCTAAGCAAGGATCCATTCCCACAAAGCCCCCGCATTTATAACAATGACAATAACCAGTACCGTTCCAAGTGGTGCTGTGTTGTGTCAAATGAAGAAAATCATACCTGTATCATAAGGCAGTTGTGAACATCGGTGACTGTGAAACTGTTCTATAAACTGTAGAGTGCCCACGCTATTAGTTTGTATGGATCCATAATGCTGCGAGAATACACAGACCTTACAGCCAAGAGATTTGGGCCTAAGGTGTCGTATTTATAATTTACAGTGATTTCATTTGCATTCCCATATTTGCTCCCTAGTCCTGAGAGGTAAGTTTTTCTTTCTAACTCTGTTTTTAAAGTAACCACTCTTCGTTGAGGCATCATGTATACCAGATACCATACGAGGTTCTTTCTGTAAATAAGATCACTTTCTTTTCCTTGAAATAAATCTATGAGCCATTGTTGTTGTTCTCATTTTACAGATGAGGAAACAGACTCAGAATTTTAAGTGGCCCAAGGTAATCAATCAGTATGTGGTTAGTAAAAAAAAAAACCCGAATTCCAGCATCCATACTCTATTCTGTGCATTAAGTGATTTGCCCACAAGCACATAGATGTGACAACTTAGAGCCAGACCTCCTGGCTTCAAGGTCTGTATTTTTTCACACATATTGAGGGCCTTACAAACTAACATTTTGAGCACTCTACAGTTTATAAAAATGGTTTCACAGTCATTGATGCATTTGATGTTCACATCTGCTTCATGATGCATTATTTTCTCCATTTCATACAGAAGGGACCCAAAGCAAGAAGAGGTAAAATGACATACCTATTATCACACAGTTAGTGAGGAACCAGGCTCAAATATAGTTTTCTTTGACTCCAAATCCCTTTATCTCTAAGATGTTACCCTTAAGAGAAATCCATCCAGGGGCTCCTGGGTGGCTCAATTGGTTGAGCATCCAACTCTGATTTTGGCTGAGGTCATGATCTCAGGGTCGTGGGATCGAGCCCTGTGTTGGGCTCCGTCCCCAGTGCAGAGTCTGCTTGAGATTCTCTCTCTCTGCCCCTCCTCCTGCTCTCTGTCTCTCTCTCTCAAATAATCTTAAAAAAAAGAGAGAGAGAGAGGGAGAAAGAAATCCATCCAGGGTGGAGGTTCTTAGCATTTGGTTTCTATAGACATCTGTTCGACTTTCTCAACATTGGCTATATATTTCTTACACCGTTCTCTTCTCCAACATTTGTCCTGTTTTCCTTCCCACCTTCCTTCCCCAGGTTATAGCCTCTACAAATACGATAGCTTTTATATTATAAGTTCTCTACCCCACACAAGAGCATCCCTCTAGCAGGATTGCAGAGAAAAGCCTCAGGGTCCACAGTGGACATCCCTTGGAGATATGTCATGGGGAAGACACATGGGGTCTGCTTTGCTTCCTATTTTGCATTTCATGGAGGCCATGCCAGACATATTTTGGAAATAGTCATGAAGCTTGTTTATTTTGGCCATAACTTCAGTTTTACTCCCTAATGTGCATTTTCAAAAGACCACTACTCTGTTCTGAGTTAGATGGCAGCCAGCTGCCTGGACTGCTCTAAATGAATGGAAGTTATCACCTGTATTTTTACACTATCACAAGGGACAAGTAGACCACCCAGCAGTCCTTCCTGTATTAATTTGGATTAGATTTCGCTGTGATGTCCAAAATGACAGTGGCTCATATAAGATAGATGTTTTTCTTTCAAGTAAACAAAGTCTGGAGGTAAGTGGTCAGTGGTTGGTTTGGCAGTTCTGCCCCACACCCAGGCTTCTTCAAGCTTCTCACTCTACCTTCCCTACGATTGTAGCCATGACCTCACAGACCAAAATGGTAGCATTCCTGTTCCAAATAACGGATGAAGGAATAGCCAAAGAAGAGAGACAAATGGCATACCCTAGCTATTTCTTAAGGCTTCTGGAAACTGCCATATAACAGTCTGCTTTCCCATATAAGGCTGGAACTTACACACATAGCCACACCTGATTATAAGAGAGGCTGGGCAATGTGATTTTTACTCTGGGTGAAATCCAGCTAAATTTTTTAATTGGAATATATTTTACATATAACATATTCCCCAAATCCTTTATCTTGAATTATTTACTTATTTCTTCTAGTTGCCTTATTGGAGTCACTCATTTATATGCTTTTTTTTAATTAATTGAGAGACCATTTTGACAACTAGTTCTTTTTTTTTTTTTTTTAAGATTTTATTTATTTATTTGACAGAGAGAGACACAGCGAGAGAGGGAAGCAGGGGGAGTGGGAGAGGGAGAAGCAGGCTTCCCGCTGAGCAGGGAGCCCCATGCGGGGCTTGATCCCAGGAGCTTGGGATCATGACGTGAGGCGAAGGCAGACACTTAACGACTGAGCCACTCAGGCGCCCCTTGACAACTAGTTCTGACCAAGTTTGAGTCCCCTCTACATCTGAAAAACACCTGTTTCAAATTCCTTTCCATCATCACCCAAAGCATATTCTGGGAAATCCTAGGAAGTATTAGGTGGAATGGTCCCAGGGTCAGGTAAGCTAGAGAAACATTGCCTTCTGTATCGGGCTCTCTTCAAAGTTCTCCATGCACGTTCACACGTGAAAAGTTCTGCCGGAAAGAAATCTGCTCGATATATTTTGATTAGTATGTTAAAACTTCTTTCCCACCAACCCTTTTTTCATAATATCTAGTAACACATAACATCCTGTGGAATACCCTTTGACAAATGTCGATTAAGCAGATCTAGAAGCTTTGGATGAGTGTGGAGGGGAAAGCCAATCCATCAAGTACTCTGTCTACCCCTTTCCCACTCTTCCACACGTTAATGTGAATCTGTGTTTCCCCCCCTTCCTTTTCTAGACTGACAGATCCCATTCCCACAACAGAGACTTCAATTGCACCCCGTCAGAGGCCTAAGGCTGGGCAGACTCAGCCAAACCCAGGAATCCTTCCTATCCAGCCAGCCCTGACACCTCGGAAGAGAGCCACGGTTCAGCCCCCACCCCAGGCTGCAGGTCAGTAACTCAGATGGTTTGAAATTTGGTACACCCTCTTTGCTATCCCAGACATTAACAGAAGTTTTGGGAAGCCTACTTTTGCTTCAGGAATGGAATCCTGAGACACATAAGGAGTAATGGTTTGACCTGAGGACCAGGAGGTGAGAACCCATTGAAATTATATGGCACGTGGCTGGCAAAAGGGGAACCCTCTCAATGGGTTCGGCGGGGGGCCTCCAAGACCACTGAAGCCTGATGTCTCTATTTTTTCTAGTCTTGGCCCTGATTTTGTGGCTTGGTCCATTCATCCCATGCCTTCCTTTTTATTTCATATTCTTCTCCTGGCCTTTAAAGAAACAAGACTCTCTTCTTTTTGACACAGGGGCATTGTTTCTTTAATGCTCTGTCTTCTGAAACTATCCGTTACCACTCCATGTTTTGGTGTTCCGGTTCTAATGAGATGACTTAGTTTAGAGGACCCAGATGATCAAGTAACTGAATTTAGTCATCACTTCCCCTACCAGGAAGCTGCTTTTGGTGAATTTGGTGGTCATCTACTTATAGCCAGGCATCTAGACTGGGGTTGTGTAACTTACAAGTAAAACATCAAAGAATGCTTTTGTCCTAAAGCATTAGTGCAAAGATTGTATTTGAATGCAGTAGCATCAAAGGCCAGCTGAATATGTAGATACTCGGGTGCTGACTAAAGGAGTAATTGACTAAATGGGATGCTGAATAAGGGAGGGCTTTCTGAAGGAGGCAAGCACTGAACCTTGTTTTGAAAAACATGAAGCACATAGTTTAGCAAGAAGATGCAAAGACAGAAGCACATGGCTCTTGGGATTATCTGTTCTCTTATCACCCCCTCTTTATTTCCTTGGCAAGAGAAAGCAAGCCATTTTCGTTTGGAAGAGTTTTGAGCCCTTATATGGAGTTTATTCTCATTACAGGATCCAGCAATCAGCCTGGCCTTTTAGCCAGTGTTCCCCAGCCAAAAACCCAGCCCCAAGCCAGCCAGCCTCTACCCCAGTCTCAGCCTAAGCAGCCCCAGCCTCCACCCACCCCACAGCAGACGCCGCCCACTGCGGCCCAGGCTCTGCCCACTGCGGCCCAGGCCACGCCCCAGCACCAGCCGCAACTCTTCCTCCAGCAGCCGCCGCCGCCGCCGCCGCCGCCGCAGCAACCGCCTCAGCAGCAGCCGCCACCTGCCCAGCAGCCCGCGGGCACGTTTTACCACCAGCAGCAGCAGGCCCAGGCCCAGCAGGTAAAGTGTTCAGTCTGACCCTTGCTTGCCGTATCTGAGGCGGCGCTGCGGAAAGGCCCAGTAGGTACAGGCATCTTCCTCGGGGAGCCCTGGGAAGACAGGGAGCCACTCCACATCGCCTCATTGCTTGTCCCAGCGCTGAATACTGGAAGCATTGCGCTGTGGATGCATCACTGGGCCACTCACACCTCTTTCCTGGGCCATGGGGAATTCTTCACCTGATGGAGGAACCTCAGCAAGGGAGCTATTTTTAGGGACGCTTTTTCTCTTCTCTCTCTCTTTTTTTCCTAACACAATTGCACCATTACCATACAAAAAATAATAATTTCTTCTTCTTATAAAATATCCAGGGGCGCCAGGGTGGCTCAGACAGTTAAGGCCTGCCTTCCGCTCAGGTCATGATCCCCAGGGTCCTGGGATCGAGCCCCTCATCGGGCTCCCTGCTCAGCGGGGAGTCTGCTTCTCCCTCTGCCTGCTGCTCCCCCTGCTTGTACTCTCTCTCTCTCTCTGTCAAATAAAAAATAAAAAAATCTTAAAAAAAAATATCCAGTAATGTTTAACTCTTCCTGATGTCTCATAATATCAGTTGGCTTGTTCGAATCAGGTTCCAAACAAGGCCCACATGTTATATTTAGTTGTGAATCTTTCTTCCTCCATTATCTTTTCATATTTTTTCTATATTTTTTACTCTGAACATATTCATTTTATAATGATTGACATATCTTTTAAATCCCCTTTTATTCATAGTGCCCTCTCCCTCTTTCTTTCCCCTTTGGCATTTAATTTTTTGAAGAAACTGGGTCATGTGTCCTGTAGAATTTTCCACCTTCTGGATTTGGCTGATTGCATCCCTGCGGTCATTTAATATGTTCTTCCATCCCCTGTGTAAACTGGTAGTTTTTTGAGGCTTGGTCAAAATTCGATTCAGTTGGAATAGTTCTTTGTTCTTCTGGTTGTATCACTTCAGGAGGCGTATAAAGTCTGGTTGTCCTCTCTTTTATCAATATGAAGATCAGTCCGTGAGTTTGGTGTTGTCTGTCTGATCCATTCATTCAGTGTCCCTGATCAGTTTAGCAGCAACTGCTGATCACTTCCTAAGTCCCTTCACTCATTAGGGATGGCAACATGGTGATATTCTAGCATTCCCTCTTCACTTAGGGGCTGGAATTTTTCTGTGAAGAATTTTTCTCAACTATTTGATGACCCTGAGGTACTGTTTATATAGAAAAGGCAGAAAAAATGCTTGATTCTTCGCCTGTGTTTACCAGTTTTCAGAATGGGTTTGTTCTTAGTGTCATCTAAAAGTGAACAGAGGTTTTTTGTGGGTTTTTTTGTTTTTTTTTTAAGATTTTATTTATTTATTTGAGAGAGAGAGTGAGAGGTAGAGAGCATGAGAGGGAAGAGGGTCAGAGGGAGAAGCAGACTCCCTGCTGAGCAGGGAGCCCGATGTGGGACTCGATCCCGGGACTCCAGGACCATGACCTGACCCGAAGGCAGTTGCTTAACCAACTGAGCCACCCAGGTGCTCTGAACAGAGGTTTTTGATTTGTTTTGTTTTAGTATCATCATGAATTCAGGGATTTAAACGTATTTGTAATGTTTCCAGACATTACCTTTTTAAAATTTTTATTTTGATGCTTACATTGCCTCAGCTTTGGCCAGTGGAAGTCTCTTCAGACTGGCTCCTGGGTCTTTTGGTGGTGACCCAGCCATCTTTAATGGTCTCCTTGCTATTTATTTATTTATTTATTTATTTATTTTTAAAGATTTTATTTATTTGACAGAGCACAAGCAGAGGGAGAGAGAGGGAGAAGCAGGCTCCCTGCTGAGCAAGGAGCCCGATGTGGGACTCGATCCCAGGACCCTGGGATCATGACCTGAGCCGAAGGCAGACGCTTAAGTACTGAGCCACCCAGGCGTCCCTCCTTGCTATTTATTGTAACAGGCCACTCTAGGCTCACTCTGCCCTTGACCTGGAAACAGCCATTTCTCTGAAGGAGTTCCATTTCCTTTTAAAAATGGTATTTAGAGACCACAGTTTGGTGCTAAGGATACTCATTTGCTAATGGGTCAGTTATTTGTTTTTAGGCCTTTTCAGTGGATACTTGGGAAATATATTTTGTTTCTTTTGTTAACAGAATATACACCACGAATCTAAATTTATATTTGTAATTCAGAATTGTAATTATAGGATTTTTGCTTAACTCCTTGGATTTTATATTTGTATTTTTCTAATCTGAAAATCTTGATTCCTAACAACATTAACATAATCACTTAATTGCTTTATAATTTCAAGACAATAGTGCCAACGGGAGTACTGGAAACAGGTTAAGATTTCTTTGCCCTTTTCATTCTTGGAATGTTTTGCTCATTTTCTGGAGTTTGGCTATCAATTTGATACACAGGTTTATTTGTTTCATTTTGCTTTTGATTTACAGTTATTGCCAAATTTTGGGTTAATTTTGTTGTTTGAAAATATAAAACATTTACAGAGTTTCAAAGTTAAATCTGCAGAATTCTTTTTTTTTTTTTTTTAAGATTTTATTTATTTGACAGAGAGAGAGAGCACAAGTAGGCAGAGCGGCAGGCAGAGGGAGAGGGAGAAGCAGACTCCCTGCTGAGCGGGGAGCCCGACACGGGACTCGATCCCAGGACCCTGGGATCATGACCTGAGCCGAAGGCAGATGCTTTACGACTGAGCCACCCAGGCGCCCAAATCTGCAGAATTCTGCTCCCTCCATCCCGTAATATAGAGGGAGCCCTCCTTCCTGTTTACAACGAGAGTATTCTCTTTTAAGGATACATAGCATGGTTTATTCAATTAGTGTCCCTGTTGATAAACATTTGGTCATTTCCAGCATTTTGCAGTTCTAAATAGGCAGCTGTTTATTGACATCTGCTTCTTTGCTAACCCTTTAACTTTGCCCCAGGAGGCCAACAGTGTCCTCTCAGTTAACTCTACAACTACAGTGTTTGGGATGTTCAAAGACAAGACCTTGACTTTTGTTCATCAGTGGGCCCTTGTTTGACCTGTGTAAGATAAAATATCAGTAAGTGTGGTAGAGTATACTGAACATTTTGAATGTTTAAAGGTGAGACTGTTAATAAGATGGAGCTATAGGGAAATAATTTTCAGAAGGGCCTGAATGGACTCTTTATAGCTGGCTTAGCACTTAGGTGATTTTCATTGTCGTCACTGCTTCGTCCTGTTCGTGGAGCAAAGCATTTTAATCTTGGCTGCTGCCAAATCCCTTTACAAGAGGGATTACTTCTGTGATTGGGAGATCATTTATTAGCTTCTGCTACACTCCAGCTTGGGGAGCCACAAGGTGCCCAGTGGAATGGATGCCCGCAGGATTGCCATAGAAACCCACCGGAAGCCGGGCTGTGGGCCAGCAGGCGGCCCAGCTCATGGGTGCAGCCTGGCCGTGTCAGGTGCTGTCGGGTTTACGTTCATGCTCTGAGGGTCCCCTCGGGAGTTGTGAGGCCAGGCCACGGGACTTCTGCCCACCCTTGCCTTTGGCTTCAGACTGGGCTTGGTTATTCCTGGGACCTTGGTCTTTTGTGGAAATCTGTTCCGAGACAGGCTTTCTTCCCCTCCTCCTTTTTGCCGCTTCTCGTTCCTAGTTTCAGGCAGCACACCCAGCCGCCCAGCAGCCGGCCCTCGCCCAGTTCCCGGTGGTGTCGCAAGGCAGCTCCCAGCCGCCGCTGACACAGAACTTCTACCAGCAGCAGCCGCCGCAGCTGGCCGCGAACTTGCACCAACAACAGCTGCTGACTCAGCAGGCCGCCTTGCCCCAGAAGACCGCCGCCGCGGCCGGACAGCAGCCCCAGGCGCCGCCCGCCGCAGCCCCGCCGGCGCCCGCGGCCCAGGAGCCGGCGGTGAGGGCGTGGAGCGAGGGGTGCGGAGGGCGCGGGACGGCGCGGGAGGGTGCGGGACGGAGCGCAGGGTGGGGCTGGCCGGAGCACGGGAGAGGGGCAGCAGCAGCCCGGGCGGGGGCCCTGCATTCGGCTGCTTCCCCAGGCCCGTGGTTAAAGTACTTGATTTTTTTTTCTTATTATGCCCGAGGTCAGGATGAGGTATTCTCTAGAAGGTAGAGGTTTAACAAAAATGATTCTAGGCTAGTGATGAAGATGAGCATTCTTATTTATCACTCTTAAAATGAGACTGGCAGAAAGAGCTGTTCACTGTCTCTTTCGGTGCCAGTGTTGAGAAGTCAAGGACCTCAGTAGGATTAGAGCGCATCCCTTTCCCTTCAAGGGCCAGGTTGACCATTGTGGCCTTTCCAGTCTCTGGAGGTTTGCGTGGGCTCCCACCTTTACCCTGAGTCCTGATAGGGTTTTTATTTATCCTTGGTCTTGGACAACATTACCTCATTTAAGTCTACCGTGTCATGTAGCGGCCTTCAGGGGCCTCCGTGCTAGGACCATTTACCATGACCCGATCCTCTGGGCACCAGAGCATCTGAGTGCTATTTGGGCCATCTTGTCAGTTCAGAAATTAGGCATGTTTCCACTTCTAGATACTGGCTGACTACAGCGTCAGAACCCCTTACTCCTCTCCTGATTGATCTTTACAGCTTCACCATCCTCAGGCACATTGTGTTTGGCCTCTACTAAGTGCTCTTCATTCTGTACTCACATATTTCTGAGTGATAGTGAAGAAAATATCATAGTGATAGAAAAAGGCTTTGTACATATCTGGCCAATAGAGTATCACAGCTACTCTCATATTCCCAGGGAAGTCCAACTACTAACCAAATGAAGGAAAAGTAAGAAACCATCTTTCTGAGGATTGATTTCTAATAGAGTTTTGTCACCCATCTTAAACCAGAAAACCATCCCTTTAAAAGGAAGCAGTGCCGTAAATAGATTGTCTTTGAGCCTCAGCCAAGTGTGTGTTCAGTGTCTTTACACCTTTGTTTCTGAAACAACTCAGTCTTCCTGCAGGCATGTGGTGGACAGCTACTCTCTGTATTTTTAACACAAGCGAAAGTTCCTCTTGTTCCTGCTCTCGCTATCTGTCAAATAAATAAATAAAATTTTTTAAAAGAAAAGAAAGTTCCTCTAATTAATGGAGTTTAAAAAAACAATTATGATATGGGGGCGACTGGGTGGCTCAGGTCCCAGTCCCAGGTCCTGGGATGGAGTCCCGCGTCGGGCTCCCTGCTCGGTGGGGAGTCTGCTTCTCCCTCTGCCTACCCACCCCCCCCCGCTGTTCGCTCTCTCTCTCCCTCTGTGTCTCTCTCTCAAATGAATAAAATCTTAAAACTATAAAAAATTATTATATGATGTAGATAGTTGAGATCGTAATTATCTAGTTTAGTCCCCTCGTTTACTGGAATTGGAAACTGGGCCTCAGGCTAGAAGGGGATTACCCACGACACACAGACTGATAGCAGCAGAGCTGGGGAAAGAACCAAAGAATCCTGATCTGTGTTTAAGGATGATAATAACAAATGCTCATCCAGGGAGATAAAATAATCAACAGTCATTGACCACATTTCTTATGAGGTTCCCCTTTGCTGTCCCTCTCTTGGGAATGAATTATAGACCTTCTCCATGTTCCTTGGCTGAAAACGTGCTTTGAGCACCTCGCTCCAGGGTAGTTGGTTGAGGGGATGGAGAAAGAACAGGAGCAGAACTTGCTTCAGCCAGGAGCCAGAGAGCTTCCCAAATTTGACCCATCCCTTTCTCTGGTGACCCTTGTCAGGACTTACCTAGAGAAGCAAGTGAGTGAATGTAAGGAATTGCCATCTTAAAGCAATAATTTACAAGAGGAAAATGGCAATATGCCATAGATGTTTATTATAATCTTATTAGTAACAGCCAAAAGAATCAAAGTAAGCTAATTGTTCAGAAACCCAACTGTGCAGCCATTAAAAGTCATGGTTATAGAGTTTGTACAACAATGTGAAACACTTATGAGATAATGTTGAAATTATGGGAAAAGTATGTACTTGAAAAGGGATACCAAAAAGATAAAAACAGTTGTATTAGGATAGTGGAATGGAAGTCTGGGTGGTTTTTTTCCCCCTTTTGTGTATATTCTTGCATTCCTGGTCCGACTATACTCCTTTTATAATTATATATATATTGTTCTTTAAAACAATCTCTAGCAAGACAGACATCTGAGTCTACTTTGATTCTCCTCCCACTGTGGTTTGTCTGTCCCCCACTTTCCGTTCCTAATCCCATCTTTGGAGGAGACATGATGGTGAAGAAAAGAGAGTCCTGAGCAGTAATCAGGAAACGTGGATTCTGTCCCAATTGACTCTATGACCTTGAGCGAGCACTTAGCCTCAGGGGGCCTTGGTCTCAGCTCCTCTGAAGCAAGGGAGTTGAGATCTGCGCTAAGGTCGCTTTTGACTCTCTCATATTCTTAGATTTGAAATGGAAATAAAACTGTCTGCCTGACATGGTCATTGTGAGGAATAGCTGAATGGATTGGAGTGGTTTTGTATTAGTAGATTGCTGTGATAGGGTAAGGTGTCCTCATGATGGAAGTGTTTGTTTTTCAGGATGCCACATATGGGGGTAGGTAAGAGGAACAGAAAGTGTTTTCCAAGTAGTCTGGACTCTTCAAAATAAAGGAACTCACCAGTGAAGCATACCCTTCTCAAAGCAACACATGTCTTAAACTCCAAGAAATAAGCTAATCTAGTTCTGCCCATAAAGCCATGGTGGTCTCTGTGGGTACTGGCTCTAGGTTGGCTGTTGCAGGTGCATCCCTGGGCCCCTGAAGGAAGTTGTGGGGCCGGAGCTCTGGTCTTCCCAGAGCACTCTGCTTCTCCGTCAGAGATGCCTCAGCTTCTTTACCCTCTGACCTTAACCTGAGTGATGTTGGAGCTTTGTGCTGTATCATTTGTTCAGTTCGTGAGTGGTTGTATACTCATATGTGCACATAACCTGCCTCAGTAAAATTCAGAGTGTGCATCAATACAGGGACAGAAAATCTCAGGCTGTCAGGATCCTGACCCACGTAGCTGGCCCCTCTGGTTTCCTTTCTCTCCCAGGACCTACTTTCAAAGGCACCAAATGTGAGAGCTGAGCTGCAGCATGGAGGGACGTCTTAGTCTGAAACGAGGGACTGGAGGGAAGGCCTTTAATATTCTGAATCATTTTGTTTCTGAACTGACAGAATTAAAGCATTAGGTGGCCTTCTTAATGCTATTTTTTGTTCATCTTCCTGATATAGCACTTTGTAGATTGTGTCTGATGCTTGACGTCTAACCACATGGCCACAAGGATGTTCCTACCTGTTTTGTTTTTCTGTGGTGACAGTTTGTTCTGCCTTCTGAAAATGGCCCAAATCTCAAGGGTCCTTATGTTATTAGATCAATTATCATCAAGGGCTTTTCAAATTTTTTCTTACTTATTATTATATTCTCTACCTGGTTCTTCAGTGCCATTTCTGAATTGAAGGTGGGAACAAGTTAATTCCACTACCCCAATGCTGTACATTTTCTCAGGGGAGCCACAGGAATAGAATCTTGTGGACCCATCTTATCAGTGAAATAAAGAGCCTTAATAACAAAACAAAACAAAACAAAACAGAAAGCACTACCATTTATGAATCACAGTGGAATCCTAACTTATTCCCAACCAGTAGTCTGAGCTGTGTCAGAGTCAGGGATCTCTTAGCAGAAATTGTGCAGCTCAAATGTGTTTTAGCAGGAGGTGTGCCTTCTGTGGTAGTAGATGGCTTAAAGCATGCTCTTTGGAGGCATTCTGAATAAGTTCCTGTGTGACCCCAGAAGCAGCAAGTGGTCCTGTAGGATACATTCTTGATTTTTGGAGTTAGAAATAGCTTCTGCAATCTTATGCACCGGGCTGTATTGTATATGGTTGCTCTGTATATTATTGCTGATGAAGATTGAAATTTATGTGTAAACAGCAGATAAATACCATGCCATCAGTCCCAAAGTTATAGCTCAGATTGTCAAAAACTGTTTTTTCTTTCTGGGTGTTATTGGTAAAATCAGCCACTTGAGCCCCATGTTAGCTCTCACGTGGCTTTTTTTATTATGCTGATCTGTTTATTTGTTTTTCCTTTCCCTTCTTTTGGGAACACTTGCCATTTTTTTTTTTCCTAGCAGATTCAAGCCCCAGTACGACAACAGCCAAAGGTTCAAACAACCCCACCTCCTGCCGTCCAGGGGCAGAAACTCGGATCTCTCACTCCTCCGTCATCCCCCAAGACCCAGCGTGCTGGGCACAGACGGATTCTCAGTGACGTAACCCACAGCGCAGTCTTTGGGGTCCCTGCCAGCAAATCAACCCAGCTGCTCCAGGCAGCTGCAGCTGAGGCCAGCCTCAATAAGTCCAAGTATGTGGTGCTTCTCCTTTCTCTTTTTCACTTTTGTGGGCCAGGGCTGCTCTGGCCGCTACTGTGTAATTCTCTGCATCTGTATGTAGATGTGTATGGGTACATATATATAAAGGTACGTATGTGTCTGTGTTTATTAAGAAACTGAAGTTGCCTGTAGTACCTAGACCGTACTGATCTTAAGGAATAATTTCATACTTGCTTTACTGTTTCCATTCTCTCATCCATCCCGTGTTCTACAGAGTATTTTTCAAAATCTTAGTCTGACCAACCCTCTCCATGATAAAAATCTTTCATTGGCTCCCCATTGCCAGAGGGATAATATCTGAACTCATTGGTTAACAGACCAAAGGCCATTATATCACATTTGTGGACCTGTCATTCTCTTTGTGAGCACGGTGTTCATCCTATGCCCTCTCCCTGAACTACCACTCTCCTCCTTGTCTACCTAGGAAATGCTTATTTAGTCATCAAGATCCATGTCAGCCGTTACCTTTTCTTTGGCTCCTTGGGTGTCATATATAAATTTGTCTGAACCTTTTTGGAGATGTATCACTTTATATTATCATTATTTATTTGTATATCCAGCTGACCTAGCCTGCAAATTCCTCCAAGACAAGGACCATGTCTTAACCATTGTAAATCCAGTGACCGGCTCTGTGCCTGAAATAAAGTAGATTGCAGTGAGTGCTAGGTAAATGCAATTTTGGACCCTCAGCTTTCTTGGAACCATGGACTCTAAAGTTAAAAATCTTTAAGTTGTTAGTTAAATGCAAAGGGCATCAAGAGAGACTTCAGAAGAAAATTAGGTAATAATACCTAGAAACACAAGATAGTGATAACTGTGTTTATTTCTCCTTAACTGTGATGGTGGCCACTCATGGCGGCCCCTCATTCTATGCATGCTAGATCCTGACAGCTGGGAGGCAGCCTGAAAAGGCATCAGTCCCAGCCACTCCGGGGTCAATTATTGTAGATGTTAGGGTGGGTTGGTGCCACAGGAGTCACAAGCCTAAGAAGAGGCTACTTTGGGTTCTGGATTGAAAGGACTTGCTAATGAGACCAAAAATCTAAACAAGAGATTAAAGAAGCAGTGGGAGATAGTGGATCATGAAGGAAAGGGAGACATTTATTTCCCACAGTGATAAAAGTATCTGTGAAAACTGTCCAGTTGCCTTGGAAAGCCCTTTTAGAAAACCATTGCAGAAAATAATGGTTTGACTCAGAAAACAATTCGATCTCAAAACCAAGAGAAAGTAGATTGACCCTTTTTCAACCTTTTTCATTTCGTGGGGGTGGGAACCTACCTAGGTCTGCAACCACCACTCCATCAGGCTCTCCTCGGACCTCCCAGCAAAACGTTTATAATGCTTCAGAAGGTTCTACGTGGAATCCCTTCGATGATGACAATTTCTCCAAACTCACAGCTGAGGAACTGCTGAACAAGGACTTTGCCAAGCTGGGGGAAGGTGAGCAATTGGTGTCCCTCTGTGATTCTTAAACCGTAACTCTAGAGGGGTATGCATGTGAAAATGTAGGGTTGGGTCTTTCCTTCCCTCAGAGGCTTGATTTGAAGTTTGAGTGCAAATTGCTTTGATTGTTCACTGGAGCACTGGCGGTCTTTTCATCCACAGGAACTCCTGGCCAGTTGTGGGCGGCGGTAAGGAGAGTGGGACACTATTAGCAAAGATTTGGTAGCATAGATCAGGGTGATACTGTCAAGCATGGTCATTCCTTGGAGGAGTGTAATGGTTTTCTTGTCCTATGTGTGTTTATTGTCCCAGAAAGTTGTAACTGCTTACCCAGGAGAGAGTGTGCCCGTATATGAACTTTGAATCTTTGATTACGGTCAGAGTTCTGTAGTACTGTTGACTGACTGTAGAGAAGTGATCAAATAAATAGAAGGTACCGTTTCTACTCTCAAAAACCCAGAGTCTAGGAGAGCCTTGGTGGCTCGGTCGGTTAAACGTCCAACTCTTGATCTCAACTCAGGTCTTGATCTTAGGATCATGAATTCAAGCCCCGCATTGGACTCCACACTGGATGTGGAGCCTACCTAAAACAAAACAAAACAAAACAAAACAAACCCACAGTCTTATTTTGAAAGGTGGGACTCATACACACAGACACACATGCACACTTTGGAAAACAACAGCATGCCCTGGAAAAATTCTTCAAAAAGAGTACCTCGGCATTAGACAAGAGCACAAGGTAAAGGAATGATCAGAACTGAGTGAATGATACGAACTTTGACCATATCTTTTAACTTTACTCTTCTAACTTTTGTTAATCTCTTTTAACTTTAACTATTATTTTATAGATATCTTTTAAAAATTTGTATTACTTGGGGTGCCTGGGTGGCTCAGTCATTAAGCGTCTGCCTTCGGCTCACGTCATGGTTCCAGGGTCCTGGGATCGAGCCGCACATCAGGCTCCCTGCTCAGCAGGAAGCCTGCTTCTCCCTCTGCTTGTGTTCCCTCTCTTGCTATGTCTCTATCTGTCAAATAAATGAAGTCTTAAAAAATTTTTTTATATTACTTTCTTATTGTTTTAAACAAAGAATAGGGTGTAGGACTTAACTCTGACAGACAACTAACTCATTGTCAAATTATTTCATTGTTATGTATGCCAGTTACTGTTCTAGAATAAACAGAAATACCTTCTTGGGCTATTGAAAACTCTAATATTTTTGCACTTGATTAAGAGACTGCCAGGTTTTAAAATTCTTGTGTCTATTTTTCATAATTTCCTGTCTCTCTTCTGTCACATTAAACTGCTGCCATTGTGCCTGTCCCTGGTCACTTCTCACTCCTACCGTTTCCCCCATGCCCTCTTTTCATGTGCTCTCCTGAACTGTTTCCAACATGGAAAACAGATTGGCAAACTCAGGAGAATTATATCAAAACAAATAGACTCAAAGTAAGGACTGGAGGCATTCTGCCTGAGTAATGTGCTTAAGCTTTTGGGCTTTAGCTCCGGCCATCTCTTTTGTTGCTTATTTATTTATTTATTTGAAAAAAATTTTAGTTGTGATAAATATACGGGCGCCTGGGTGGCTTAGTGGGTTAAGCATCTGCCTTAACCCCACTCAGGTCGTAATCCCAGGGTCCTGGGATCGAGCCCCGTGTTGGGCTCCCTGCTCAGCGGGGAGAGTGCTTCTCCCTACCCCCTGCCCCACTCATTCTCTCTCTCTCTCTCTCTCTCTCAAATAAATAAATAAAATCTTTTTTAAAATTGTGATCAATAAACATAAACATGAACTTTTTAACCATTGTCAAGTGTAGAGTTCAGTAGTGTTAACTACATACACATCATTGTGCACCCCTTCTCCAGAACTCCTTCCATCTTGCAAAACCGATGTGCTGTCTTTGATTCTTACAACTTCCTTTTCTCAGCTGTTGTCTCAGTTATTGCAATGATTAGACAAGGACCTGCGAATGTCCGAGGTGTTGCCATAAGGCAGTAAAGGAGTCACGTCTAGAATTCGGTTCAGAAGGTGCCCTCCACCTCCTGCATGTGTGTGTGCATCATGGGATTCTGCTGGAATGAACTGAGTGGTGTTTTGTCCCTCCAGGGAAACATCCTGAGAAGCTTGGAGGCTCCGCTGAGAGTTTGATCCCAGGCTTTCAACCAACTCAAGGTGATGCTTTTGCCACTCCCTCGTTTTCTGCTGGAACCGGTTAGTATAGCAGGTGCCTGAAATACAGGGCTCACAGTTGTTGCCCCCACAGTTTCAACTGCTGCACAGATAAGCCTGGCACACCAGTGAGCCCCAAATCTTGTGTATTTTCTTTTATTCAGAAGATTTTCAATATAAAAGCTAGGGAAAAAGAAATCTCTAGAATCATTCTGAATTAAAATGACAGAATGATGTGTCAGTAATATACAGGATTTGTTCTGTCTAGTTCACACACATGCTTTGAGCAAATATTTCTAAATTTAAGAACATCACTCCGTTAATTGCTTGTAATTGCTTAGATCTTTGGAATGACTTGAAGAATTCTAAAAATTAGATGTTCTATCCTCTATCCAAGATTCTACTGAGCTGTGTTTCTGTGTGTGTGTGTGTGTGTGTGTGTGTGTGTGTGTTTACAGGGAGAGGAAGATATCTTTTTAAATTAGACCTTTTTTTAAATTAAAAAAGTAATAGTAAAAAACTAACTTTCTCTATTAATAAAAATTATACATAGTCAACTATACTTCAATTAAAATTTCTTAAAATTAGAAAATTGTACATATTTATTACATAAAACTCAGTAATTTATAGAAAAGCATAGACAAGAAAATTAAAATCCCCATAATCTCACCATTAAGAAGTAGCACAGGGATACATTTTGGTGTCTGTTAGTGGCATTTAACCTTCTTAGGGTCACAGCTATCTTCGTGAATGTAATGAAAGTTACAGATCTTCCTCACGAAAATACATGACCACATTTTGTACATAATTTTCAGCTTCAACTTAAGACTCTAATGTACATCTTTATAGTCCTATTTTCAAACCAAATTTTCTCTCTTACTAAGTCTGGCACATTTCCCACATCATTAAAGACTCTCCTAAAAGATAAATTTTTAAAAGATCTGTATTAAATTGCTTCATATGGATTTGTCCTAATGTTTCTAACCAAATAACCTCTTTTTTTAAACATTAATTTGGTTTCAGTGTTTTCCTGTTATAATTCCCTCAGCAACCATATGAGGTTTTGAGCATATATATTCCTTGTAGATACGGAATTTGATATGCTTCCAAAATTGATCTTTTTAATTTTATTGATTAATTTCTGATTTTAACCTTATATATTCTTTCTTCCTGCCTTCTTTAGGTGTGTTAGCAGTTTTTCTAACATCATAAATTTATTTCTTATTGGAACTTTGGCTGTCATTGCATAATATCCTTTATAGTTTCTTTAAGATAACCTCTAGAAGATTATTTGTTAAATCAAAAGATTGTCTTTTAAGGCTTTTGGTGCATATTTCTAAATTAGCCTCTGAGAATGCTATACAAATTTTATTTTGATCAGCAGTGAATGAGAGTAATTTTCCCTCCACTTCTCCACCCAGCCCAGATCAGAGGCTGTAGATAGGACAGTGTTTACTGGCCACTTTTTTTTCTGGGATTTGTGTTGTTCATGTCCTTTGCCTTTTTTTTTTTTCCTGATGTTCTGTAAGAGCTCTTCGTATATCCTGTACTGTAAACATTTTCCTCAGTCTGTCATTTGTCCTACACAAATATATGTCATCTGATCCTCAACACCATCCTCACAGTTGAGGTAACTGAGCACAGACTAGTCTCTCTTCCAGGATCACATAGCTCGGAAGTGGCAGGGCAGGGACACCAACCCCCTGGCTCCAGAACTTCCTCTCTCAAGTTTTCTGCCACATAATGAGGCAAATTTAGTAATAATTTTCTAGAAATTCATAATGCAGTTTTAAAATTTTTTAAATAGGGATGCCTGGGTGGCTCAGTCAGTTGAGCATCTGCCCTTGGCCCAGGTCATGATTCCAGGGTCCTGGGATCGAGCCCCCTGTTGGGCTTCCTGCTCCGTGGAGAGCCTGCTTCTCCCTCTGCCGCTCCCCCTGTTCGTGCTGTCTCTCTCTCTGTCAAATAAATAAGTAAAATCTCTAAAAAATAATAAAATAAAAAAATAAAAATTTTTAAATAAAATAGAATAATGCATTTAAACCTTCCTTCCTCTTATAATATTTTCTTTGTATACATATCAATTTTCATTGTATGAAATGAAAATCACTTTAGCTAGAGATTTGTTGTTTTAGCATCGTTCCAAGACAACTCTTAGATTTATAAAATCTACCGTTTTCCTGTCTTCTAATTCTTTAACTTTTGCTTTTTTTTTAAGTTATAGATCCCAGGGTCCTGGGATCGAGTCCCACATCGGGCTCCCTGCTCTGCGGGAAGCCTGCTTCTCCCTCTCCCTCTCCCCCTGCTTGTGTTCCTGCTCTTGCTATGTCTCTCTCTGTCAAATAAATAAATAAAATCTTTAAAAAATAAATAAATAAATTATAGATCCCTGTTTTTCTTAGGTTTGCTTTGTCAGTATTAAAAGGAACACAGTAAAATTTTTAAAAATTCTTCTTAAAAACGTAATGAAAGTGTTTAGAGTTTTTCTCCCAATATAACAGTGATTTTCAACCAGCATGAGAGTGGGGAGAGAGGCTCATTATAATCTGCTTAGAAGACTTGTCCGCAGATATTTTAATATTCTCTTTGCCTCTCTCTTTAATTGCCCACCCCACCCTGACCTTTGAGGATTACACTGTTTATTGATAGTGCTGTCTAATAGGTGTGTGTTTCCCTTGTCAGAAAAAAACTGAAGTTTTAATCATATCCTATAAGTCTTCATATAATAATCTTATTGTTATTAATTTAGAATACACATTGGCCTTATTTGGGGGACATGCTTTTTAATATTAAAAAGTTAAAGTGTTTTGTGTTATTTTTTATTTTTAGCTTTGTTGTCTTACCTTTGTAATTTTTAAGTTTATTGCTATTTTGGTCTGGTTTAAAGTGCTTAAAGTGTAATAGGCCACATGTTGACTCAATGTACCAAATGTATAAAGCATTGACTGTTGTCCTTGAGATAGAGCATCACATGGATGCCCAGCTATGGTACTGAGTAGGATATAGTTTCCCTGGAAAGGGGGTCATGGAATAAGCTCCAGGAGAGTTTTCTTTGCTGTTGAATGCTAACATTTAGTACTGTGTTTGGTTTAGTACAGATTGTTGAATGAATGAAAAGAATTGCTTTTTGCCAAAGGATAGGAGCTTGGATTCACCAGTGTTAACAACAGAGGTCCCTACACATTTTCCATACACTCCCAGTTTTAGTGCCTATAATTCCTGCTTATCACATGTTTTGTTGTTTGTCTATATGAACTGTTATTTATTTATTGGGGGGGGAGGGGCAGAGGGAGAGGGAGAAAGAGAGAGCCTTAAGCAGACTCCACACTGAGCACGGAGCCTGACGCAGGGCTCAATCCCACGAAGCTAAGACCACGACCCAAATGGAAACCAAGAGTCCAGTGCTCAAATGACTGCACCATCCAGGCGCCCCTGTATGAACTGTTTTTGAAACAGTTTTTATTTTTGTTTTAGCCTTCTCTCCCCCTTTATGCCTACTTTAAAGGCTATAAATGGCTGTATTTTTTAAGGGACTTAAAGGCCCCTGCTTTAAAAAATACACATTTGAGTAGTTACAACAGTAATAACAGTGAACATATACTGAGCACATGCACTGGTTAAGTGCTTTTTTATGCATTATCTCAGGTCGTCCTTAAAACAGCTCTCAGGGGGCGCCTGGGTGGCTCAGTCGGTTAAGCCTCTGCCTTCCGCTCAGGTCATGATCTCAGGGTGCTGGGATCGAGCCCTACATCCCCCGCATTGGGCTCCCTCTTCAGCAGGAAGTCCGCTTCTCCCTCTGCCCTTACCCCCCCCCACCGCCCCTGCTTTGTGCTTGCTCGTGAGCTCGCTCTCTCTCTCTCTCTCTCTCTCCCCCTCCCCCTCTCTCTCAAATAAATAAATAAATAATCTTTAAAAAAAAAAAAAACAACCCAAAAACAAAAACCAGCCCTCAAGAGGTTAAGTGACCTGCCTAGGTCACAGCTGGAGAATGGCAGACTAGAGAGTTGTACCTGAGCAGCCCAGCTCAGAAACTGTAGTCATAACCCCATCTCAAGAAACTTTGTAAATCAGTGACACTAAGCTTTTACGAACATTATAAAATATCTTCAGATTTTTTTCATCTTATCCAGCCTTTTTTAAACGAACATTTAGTATTTTTCCTTCTTCCTTGTTTGTGGTGTAAACTTTTATGTGTGCGACACTTTTATTTTATAATGAAAGAAAATTATATCTAAATCCCAGAAATTAATATGTCCTCATTTGTATGAAGTATAGGATAGCATCATTTTTAGATGTTTTCTGATCAAGGTCAGACTGTTCACTATTTTAAACCTTCTGATCAACCAAGGGAGGAAATAAGCAGGAAATTTGGCAGTGAGTCAGAGAGGATGACAGAAGGGTTATTTTAAACATTTTTATGGTAAAAGCTGCAAAAATATTGATGAACTGTGTCCATATGTTGGAATAGACATTTAAAACTTGACAGTGTACCTCTTTATTTAAAATAGTTTTCTGTTAAGTTATACACATTCACTTGTGTAATTTTGGAAAAATGACTAAAAGCCCAAAGAAACAAGATAAAAGAACTCACAGTCCCAGTCCCCAGAGGAAAACATTGCTGACATTTTACAATATTTATGTCCATAATTTTATTTCTGTATATATAATTTTTTCAAAATGAATATACCCAGTTTTATGATTTGTTCTTTTTCTTTTAATGTATTTCACTGTGTCTCATTTGAAAATATTATAGAAATTTTAAGAGCAGTGATTTTACCCTTCTCTTCCTCCATCTACCTTTAAAGAAGCTTAGTTAAAAACCCATTTAATAACCTTCTCAAAATGACAAAATTATAGAGATTGAGAACAGATTAGTGGATTCTAGGAAGTAGGGACTAGAGTAAGGAGTGGGTATGACTATAAAGGAGAACAACAAAGGGGTTCTTTGGTTTGACAGAACGGTTCTATATCATCGTCACAGTGGTGCTTATGCTAACCTATACATAGGATCTAATTGCGAAGAACTGCGCGCACACACACACACACACACACGTGAGTGCATGTGAAAACTGAATAAAATGTAGTTAACAGTATTGTAATGGTGTCAGTGATACTGTCCTATAGTTGTAAAAGATCTTACCATGGAGGGAAGCTGGTTGAAGGTTCCCAGGACTCTATGTATAGCAAATTCCTACGATTTCATAATTATTTGAAAATAAAAAGGTTTGCAGTCTATAGAAGGCAAAATGAGATTTTAAAGAACAAATGAGTATTAAAATGCAATGTAAAGAATGCTAAGTAGAAAACCAGCAAGCCTGGGTTCTGACCTTGGGTTTGCTGGTAGACCTCTGGCTAGCCTCTTAACTTCTGGGCTTCATTTTCTTTTCTGTAAAATAAGAAAACTGTGCTATAAAATCCTAAGACCCCTTCAAGCCCTGATATCCCACAGGGTGTGTAGATTTTTGTAAACCTGCAAGTTTGCCAAGTATAGAATGAATGTCAGTGAATGTTAGATGTAGTCCAGAAGTTAGGGCTTGTCTAACCTTGCAACAGACAAGAAGCCTATTTCTGTTTCTGTCTGTGTCTGTCTGCCTGGCACTGTAATAGACATTTGGTGATACAGTGACCTCAGGATGGTAGAGGGCACATTGAAGCACATAACATCTGTGTTAGATTACAGAACAGACAGTGTTTGTTTACATGCTACAGTGTGTGATATGGACAATAGTTGCTACAAGAATCTGGAAGAGATCCCTGTAGGCTTCCACACAAGGAAGAAGTGGAACTCAGGTGTATGAATATACTAGTTTTATCATCAAGTGCATCTTTGAGTGTGTTGCAAGGACCGGATTATATCTCTCATACATATTTTGCCATTACACTGGATTATATCCACTCATCCCTCTTTATTCTGCCTCTGAGTTTCGATTTACTCTATAATTTGAGCTGTTGGGTTAATAGATGGTAAATTCATCTAGATTTACTTGATGTTTTCTGCTTTTCTCTTTTTTTCTCTCCTTGACCCTTTCTTCCCCTCCAACCAACTCCAGCTGAAAAAAGGAAGGGTGGGCAGACTGTGGATTCTAGCCTCCCACTTCTAAGTGTATCTGATCCTTTCATTCCTCTTCAAGTACCTGATGCACCAGGTAGGTAAACAGAACTGATCTGAGGTTAAGCAGCTTGATTCTTACGTCCCAGGGTCTCATGAGAGTTGTTTAAACACTCCATAAAAAGGATGTGAATTCCAAGCCCTAATAATAGGTGCTGTTACATATTTTTTGATAACGGGAACAGCCTGTGTATTAGAAGGAACATTAGTCCAATATGATCATAACATGTTGGGGGACACCTATAAGCATGTGATAGAAGGAACAAAATGCTAATAGTGGTTAGTGTGATGACTGGATTACTGGTGATTGCCTATCCCGTTCCTGTTTTCCTATAATGAGCTTTTATTTTATAAATAAAAGTTAAAGGGAATGTGAGTCAGGAGACTCAGGTTCCCTTCCTGGCACTTCTACTATCTGAAACCTTCTGGGCTTGACTCTTCATCAGTGAAGTGTTTTGGATTGTATGAGTTTGAATATCCCTTTAGGCCTGCTATATCCTGATTTTTAAGTGAGCAGTCTAAAAAAAAGTAAGAAATTGTTAGTGTGTTCTGATTGAAATAGCTTTTGAAACAATAATTGGATGCTTTCTATTTGGAGCTCATGGATGCCAATGATTTCTCCCCTACTCTCCTCCCCATCTTTTTGGGGGTGGAGTGGGGAGCATGATGTGAGACAGAGAAGCCACCCTTTCTCTTCTCTCTCAGTCTTTTTGAAAAAGCAAATAGATCCAGCACTTTAGAAGCATATAGCCTCCATTTTGTTCCTGTTCCTTGTTTTTCTTTTTTCTCATTCTTATCCCGGCCTGTTCTTGGTTTTAAACTAATAGGATCTGCTTGGTTCTTCTTCTCTCCCAGAATATTAAAGGTATTTGATTGACTCAAGATTGGAAGTAACTGTGATGTCTGTACCATCTCCTTAGTAAGACAGACTGCAGCAAGGGTACCATGACAGTTTTTATTTCTTTAGGCAATTTGTTGATCCTCCTTAGGGGAAGCAAACCTGCCTTGATCTGGTAGTGTCATGTAACTTCATAGCTTGCTGGACCTGGATGTAGGTCAAAAATACCTAAGGTCGGGGCTCCTGGGTGGCTCAGTCGTTGGGCGTCTGCCTTCGGCTCAGGTCGTGATCCCAGGGTCCTGGGATCGAGCCCCACATCGGGCTCCCTGCTCAGCAGGAAGCCTGCTCCCCCTCTCCCACACCCCCTGCTTGTGTTTCCTCTCTCGCTGTGTCTTTCTGTCAAATAAATAAATAAATAAATAATCTTAAAAGAAAAAAAAAAAAAAATATATATATATATATACCTAAGGTCACTGAGGAATGATTCAGCATTGGATAGTTGAAAGGGAAGAAAGGAATCAAGTAGAGGCCCTTCTCTCTGTTGTATCGTTCAGGTATGCCTGGCAGTATCCAGACAAGCCAGTTTCTAGCAGAACGCTAGAAACTTAGGCTGGGGCCTACTGGCCTCTTTTTCCTCCCTGTTGTGGCATTCATGGGATCAGACAGGAAAAAGGGGTTATTGAAGCGTTCTCCCCCTGACTCCCTTAAGGGTTCTTGCCTCACACTTTCCCAGATAGCCCATGAGCTGTGGAAGCTGGAAGGGGCCCTCTTGGCACAGGCCGGAAGATGAGACTCCACAGGCAAGTAGCTGTCCTCTGCAGCTCTCACGGGCGCCCTTCCGATCAGGGATGAGGAGCCAGGCACACAGGCCAGGTGGCTCAGGATATCAACTCCCAGTTGTAGAGAGGAGTTGTGGAGGGTTGTGAAGATGAGCCTGGGAGGCAGCAGAGGTAGCTGGCTGCCATCCTGCCTCTCTTAGTGTCATTTTTCCTGTCTCCTGATCCTTCACACTGGCGGATTCCTGCTAAAGTGATACTGGTGTACACTTTAATACCAATTAAGCCATGGCCCCTCTTGGTTTTAATGGGACATCTATTAAAATGGAACATTCTAATAGAGAATTTCAGGGGTATCTTATTTGTTTTATGATCTGCCAGGCCAGACTCATCTGAAAACATAAATTAGACATGTCACTCCTTTGTGCTCCAGTGAATTTCCGTATCACCGAGCATAAAATCCAGACTTCTTACTGTGACCTGAAAGGCCCTAACTAATCTGGTTAGCCCTCTGGCTACCCCTCTGACCTGAGCTCATAGCATTCTTGTCTTCAGTCTTTCCTCCAACAGGCGAAGCTTGTTCTTACCTCAGGGCCTTTACACGTGCTGGTACTCTGCCTGGGAAGCTTTTCCTCCATCTCTTTTCCTCCTTGTTATCTGGCATTTGGGTCTCTGCTTAAATGCTGTCTTCTCAGGCCCATCGTGGTCTCTCAGACAGCACTCCCAGCCACACTTCCTGGCTTTTTTCTTCATAGCACTTACTGTGACATTGTCTGTTTTCATTGGTTCATTATCTGTCTTTCCCCACCAGGATGTCAGTGTGCTGAAGGAGGGGACTTGCTGTCTGACCTAGCACTGCTTAGCCAGTGCTCAGAAAACGTAGAGCTGGCACTCCACGAATATTTGCAGATTGGAAGAAGGAACAAAGTAAAACCTGAGGCTGCAAGGCTTACGGCGGCCCCATTGCTTTCTCCATTTCTGTCTCCAGCTCCCAAATACCAGACTACTGGCTCCATAGCCTTCCACCTGTGCCTCTGCCAGCTGGCCTCCCATCCACTCCTTGAGGATGAATAAATGAAGGCACAGCCCACAGTGTCAGGAAGCCGCCAAGCCCCAGAGTAGAAGTAGTAGCTAGACCTAGCAAATCCTTGAGCTCCAGCCCTTCTTGGAGCCCTCCAGAATCTGGACTGAGCAGGGTGTGTTGCCGCTCTGGCTGACTATTGTATGTCCTGTAACATTCAGCCTGTAGCACTGTTCAGTTCCGTGGCCTCTTTATCCAAGGATATAGATAGGATTACCCTACATGCTTCCTTACCGTCTTGAAATGTCTGAGTGAAGAAAGGCCTGAGAGTTTAGGGTCTCTGGGACCTCAGTATTGTCTCTGGGACAGTGGCCAGTTTGTCTCCCCCAACCTCCTGCCCCCCTAAAGTACCTGGTTTGTCACTACTTCCAGCCCGTTACGGGCACCCGTCAGGCTTTTCGGTCAGTTAGTTAGTTTGTTTTGCATACATGCTTACCTCCACACTCCACCTTCCTGATTGTGAGTGGGGAAATCTCAGTCTCCTGACAACTATATGCCTTTTGATGACTTAACATTTTATTTTATGCTTTTATGTTCTCACATATAATTTCCTTGGATCCTACAAAGAATACTGACTGGTGCGTATGTCAAGTAATATCTCATTTTCTGGGGGAGGAGGTGAGACCCCGGTGCTACTGTGACAGGTCCTGCTGTATACACTCCTTTTCGTGGCCCTCGGACTCCCAGCAGTGAAGGTTTCCTTGTCTGGAGATCAACAAAGCCTGCGACTGGAGAGCTAAATTTAAGGTTTAGGGAGATACAAAAATGGGTTTGAACTTACAAGATCTAGGTTCGACCCGCATAGTAGCTTGGTGATCTTGATCAAATCACTTAAACTCTGTGTTCCCCTCAAAATTGGTGCCATTAAAACCTACCCTATGGAGTGACTTGTGAGGTTCAGATGAAAGCATGTGTTTGGAATTGCTTTATAAACTTTAAATTAGTATGAAGATAGGAAATGTTATAACAGCTTTGGTTCTGGGTCCTTATTCCCCGTGGGACAGTCCTACTTATGATAAAGCCTTAGGCAATGACATTTCCCTCTTACAGAAATTAAACTTGCTTTAGAACCTTTGACCTTTGCACGACTGAGAGCCATTGAAGTAGACTTCCTTGATATGATGATTATTAAACTGTGGGCAAAGGGGACTGAACAATTGAATTTGTTCAGGTTTTCTTAAAGGAGCATTTCTATTTTCCAAAGCATCATAAAACAAATTTTCTTAGAAAATCTGTTATATAAATACACACACACACACACATATACATAAAAAAATCACAGCCGTGAGCATTTGTATGCTCACAGAGCTGCCAAATGAAGCCTACCTCTGGTGAGTCTCAGAGTATTTCGTGGATGCTCATGTGCTGTGTGTTCATTTATTTTGCCTTCTGTTTGTGTCAGAGAACAGATAAGCCAGGGGTGGTATCAAATTTAAAATACGGTAGAAGAGAGTGGGGAATTTTCCCTGAGAATTGGCTGAAAGATTTAATCTTTTGCTTTTTCTAAACGGTAAAATATATATAACACAGATTTACCATTTTTCAAGTGGCATTAGTACATTCACATTGGTTTTTGCAACCATTATCATCCATCCACAAAACTTCTTTATCTTGCAAAACTGAAACTCTCTGTTAAACAATAATTCTCCTTCCTCCCTCCCTCCCACAGCCCTTGACGACCCCCATTTTACTCTCTGTCCCTATGACTTTGACTGCTCTACATACCTCATATAGGTGGAGTCATACGGTATTTGTCATGTTGTGACTGGCTTATTTCACTTAATGTGTTCAAGGTTCATCCATGTTGAAGCATATGTCAGAATTTCCTTCCTTTTTAAGACTGAGTAATATTCCATTGTGTGTATCTAACCGCATTTTGTTTATCCTTTCATTTTTTGTTGGCCGCTTGGGTTGCTTCCATATTTTGGCTCTTGTGAATAATGCTTCATGAACATGGGTGTGCAAATATCTCTTCAAGATCCAAGATTCTTTTGGGTTTATATATCCAGAAATGGAATTGCTAGATCCTATGGTAATTCTATTTTTAATTTTTTGATGAATCACTATATTATTTTCTGTAGCGACTACATCTTTTTACTTTTCCACTAACAGAGCACAAGAGTTTGAGGAAAAGATTTCCATAGCAGCTCCTTAATACTGACCTCTCAACATCAGTGTTCCACAAGACTAAGCAAGAATGCATTAGTTGCCCCATAAGTGCCACTTCCTGGAATCAACAACTTTTAAAAACTGTGCCTCCTGGTTTATGGCACTTCATCGTCTCTTAAAAAGTAGGCAAGAGAAAGTGTGTTTTCTTAGTGGTTTGTTGTCAAGATAGGCAT